TCACTTAGAAGCTATGGGGTCCTTGAAATGAAGAAGCAAATCTTTCTTGCAGTGGCTTCAAGCACTGTGCAGATGTTGAATGTGAGTGAGATATCCACCAATGGTGCTCTGGTCTCCTGGGACTCGGTTGCTGGGGCCACTGGGTACCGAGTGGCTTGGGGTCCTACACCAGGTAAGATCCCACTGTCTTCCATCCTGAGTCACCCACACCTCCTCCTGTAGCACAGAGAGATAAGGCTCTGGGAACCACAGGAATGATGGACATAGGAACAAGTCCAGCTTATTAATTGGCCTAAGCTACTTCAGGGCATGAGCTGAAATTATTCCAGGGCCTGTCTTGCAGTGTTGGCAGATAGGGTGTCTGCAACCTGACCCCATCCCAATTCATATCCCAGTGGGTACGAGGGTTCTACATCACCTTGCCTGGTCCTTGGGGATGAGCTGAGTCACATCAGCAGTGCAGGGGCTCTGCAACTCCCTGGAGGGCTTGGAAGAGGCAAAGATCACATAGGTGCCTCCAGTGACCCATATTATGTTAGTTGTGGCCTTGGGTGTGAGACCTGGATCGGTTCTTTTGGATCCTCTTGGTGAGTTCAGTTGCTTTGGTCATTCAGATTCTTTAATAAACAATCAAAGGACTATTTTCTTGTTCCAACAAACACAGTAGGACAGCTGAAGATGTCCTACTAAACATCTTCAGCTGAATCAAAGATGGGGAAAACATGGTGCATCTCTTAGTGTACGACAGAGCTACTCCCCAGATTTTAGTCTTTATCCTCTTCTATTTCTTTTTCTCTCTTTTGCAAAGAATTCTTTGGGAAAGACCGACCTCGGCAGCTGGCCCTCAACAATTCAATCACAACCTACCAGCTCCGCAACCTGGCCCATGACACTGAGTATGTGATTTCCCTCTATGTGCTTTTTGGCACAGTGGAAGGACCAGGGATCACAACCACAGCCAGGACATGTGAGTATGGGCAGAGTGTTCAAGTAACTACCATAGGCACGCATCCCTTGGGTGGATGGTTCAACTTGGTGTATGTCTGCTGAGGGGAGGTTCCAGATTTATCATCTGAGAGGTTGAAAGGTAGAGAACGACTAAAGAGTCAACATCACCCATACGATCCCATAGCTGCCTGAATCCCCACGCTGCCTCTTTTGGGTTCACAGACATGCTCCTAGCTGAAGCTAGAACGAAACATATGCTTTGGTGCTAAAGGCAATAGGGTGTACATGCAAGAGTGTTCAGACCAGTTTCCCTCCACATGAGAACAATGAGGCACCAGGAATAAGCAAAGATGGCACTTTTAAACATTCTCCAATTTTGGCTTTGCTATACTGCCAACATGGGGCCCTTTGGGGCAGCAATCAGGGCACTGTCTAATGCCAGCTTAATCTTACAGCTCCTCTTGGCTACATCTCCAATTTTAAGGTGACATCCTACACCAGCTCAAGCCTGTCTCTGGCATGGAACGCCATGTTGGCTGCCACCAAATTCAAAGTCACCTGGAGACCTGTGGGAGCCAGCAATGGTGAGCAGAAAAAGAGTGCACATACTTGTTCCTGTCAAAGACCTGTGTCAATGGCCATGGAAGATACCTTTCCAAAGTCCCGATCCACTGCCTGGAGCAGGAAAGAGATCTCACTGCTAAGAAACAGTCTTCAGCCAGCACCCATTGCTGATCTTTCCCTCTTTGTGTTCATGCTCTTCTATTTATGAAGTTAATCCCCAAAGCTCTGGAATTGCAGTACAGCAAAGAAAGGCTGTTTCCTTTGAAGGGGATGCCACCAGCCTACAAGAAACATCCCTTCTTTTACAGGAAAACAGGTGGCCAAGACTCAATACCTGGGCAGCAGGTTGTTGGCTCATCAGATTGATCACCTGCTACCTGACACCCTGTATAAAGTCAGCATTAGGGCTGTCTTCAGCAAGACTGAAGGGCCAGAGGTGACTCTGACTCACCGCACAGGTACATCCTTATGGAACAGCCCTCTGTATTGGGACACTGGGGTTGGATTCATGGGGTTTTGCTTCTTTCAGTGTATTTTTCACATTAGTTTGTCAGAACCCATAGTGTTTGAATATGCCTCTGAATGATCTATTCTCTTGTTCCTCCCCTCACGTCCCTGTGATGTGCAACCAGAGTCTGGGCAGTAAAAGATATGGATGAGATCCCTCAATTTAACTGCACAGTGCTGTGCTTCATGGATTCTTTTAGTAAATACAGCCTGGTATCTCTGGATAGAGTCATAGAATCATTGAGGTTGGAAAGGACCTCTGAGATCATCCAGTCCAACCATCAACTCATCCTTACCATGCCCACCAACCATGTCCCTAAGTGTCATAACTACAAATTTCTTGAACACCTCCAGGAATGGTGGCGACCCAACATCTTTCCTGGACAGTCTGTTCCCATGCTTGAAGAAATTTTTCCTAATATCCAACCTGAACCTGAACTTCACCTCTTGCCTTTTCTTCCAAAATGCAGTCAACGACTAGGGAGTTATAATTCATAATTACTGAGTTTTTCTTCAGTGTCATGACCTTGAACAACAAGCACTTCGTTACTTTCAACATCTAACCCAGTTATGTCTGGGATAGAGTTAATTTTTCTTTCCAGTAGCTGATCTGATGCTGCGTTTTGGATTTAGAGTGAGAAAACTTTGATAGCACAGCAATGTTTTAGTTGTTGCAGAGCAGTGCTTACACTAAAACAAGAACTTTTCAGCTCCTCACACTCTCCTGCTAGCAAGGAGCTGGGAGGTGACAGAGCCAGGATAACTGACCCAATGTGGCCATAGGGACATCCCGTACCATATGGCATCGTGCTGAACAGTAAAACTGAGGGAGTTGGCCAAAGGAATCACCATTCCTCAGGGACTGGTTGAACATCAGAGTCAGGGAGTGGTGAGGAACTGTGTTGTGTATCACTTACTTTTTAAAAATTGTTTTATTTTTTTTTTAATTTCCCCTTATTTCTTTCTTATTAAACTGCCCTTAGTGCATGAATTTTTACACTTTTCTATTTTGCAGCTTCTCTCGCAGACTCCAGCCCCATCCACACCATCCAAGATCTGAGGATTACCAACACTGCTGTCAATAGTTTGAAGCTGTCTTGGAGAAGGCTTCCAGAGGCAACTCACTATAAGATATCCTGGGTGCCACTCAGCAGTAAGCATCCTCCTCCCTTTGGTGCAGTGTGAGGACAAAGAACAAAGATCACCAGAAAACCCAGACTTAACTCAGTCCTTTTCCCACAGATCATCGGGGTGGATGGGGGCTATAATATCTCCAGGGACAGGTTGAAGGCTTGAAAGTTGGCCAAGTTTTCATCTGTAATCTAGAGATCAGTTGGATTTAAGTGTAGTTGTATTCAAGAAGTCAGGGAAGGGATTCCCTTCCAGCAGTGTATATGATGCCAGGCCAGGGAGGAAAATGACCGTAACAGTAATTGTTTATAGCAGTCACCCTGCTCTTTCTATGTAGTATCATGGATTTATTTGTTTTGTGGTGTCGCTGCAATTGTGGCTAGGTGGCTTGGAAACATCACAGTTAGTTGGAGCTGAGAGCAACTCATTCACCATCCCCAAGCTGAAGGAGAGCACCACGTACACCATTGCTGTGTCAGCAGTGATTGGAGGACAGGAGGGAAACCCCACACTACTCACAGCCAAAACTTGTGAGTATGGAAGCCACCAGGTGGTGGGAATAAATGTCACCAGGGCAGTGCCAGGGATTGTGATGGGAGATGGGATTGGGCAAGGAGAAATATAGCTGGGGCAATATCGATGGGAAATATCTTCACCATTCTCAGCAGGTAATTGTAAATATGATTCATGAGTTTATGGCATTGTGTAATGTGATTGATGCTGCAGAATAGGGAGATTTGGAAATCCAGGGGTAGAGAAGATCAGGTGTGTAGAACAGTCATGGAGGCTTCAAGGTGTAATAGTATCTGGCACAAGTGAACAGGCATAAAGTTAATTTCCCACCTCAACAACTCAAATTTAATGATTAGTTGGGAGAAAAACCCGGGATCCAGGCTGAAGATATGACAATTATTTGATAAAATTGTATTGGTTCCCATTTAGGGAATGATTTAGTGGTCAGTATTGATGGTGCGTGGACAGTTGGACTAGATGATCTTAGAGGATTTTTTCAACCTTAATGGTGAAGGTCTCTGAAACTCATCACAGATGAAGATGTGTTTTCTAGCATACCCTTCATTGCACTCTGACATAGATACAGTGGGCATGGAGGTAATGGGTTGTCAGTTGGACTCGATGATCTTAGTGGTCTTTCCAACCTTGATGATTCTATGATAAGCTTGCTTTCTTTTTCTTTCCAACAGTGGATTTACCCAAAGTGACTGAGTTCACTATGCAGGAAGCTGCAGAGACCAGTGTTTTGCTGACTTGGACTGCTGTTCCTGGAGTATCCACATACCTACTAACATGGTGCTTGTCCTCAGGTAATATTTATGTGGTTGGGAAAGGAAGGATGAGTTGTCATTTGGACCCATCTGGCGTAAGCTGCCCTAACTAAGAGTATTTGAGGATGGAGCATGGACAAGTGTGGCTTGGCTTGTGGTCTATTCAGTTCAGTACTTGGTCTTAGAGACAGCTGGTGCAGCAGAAGATGAAAGTGGCAGGTAATATAGAAGAAATTTCTTTCCACCAGCAGCCTTAATTGCCATCCAGAGATCCCTAGGCAGGCACAAGCAGTGTGCCCAGGTGATCCTCATGAGGTTCAAGAAAGCCAAGTGCAAGGCTTTGCACCTGGTTTGTGGCAACTCCCACTATCAGTACAAACTGGGGGATGAAACTGTTGATGTCCCTGTTCATTGCAGGGGAGTTGGACTAGGTAAACTGTAAAGATCCTTCCAACTCAAACAATTGTATGGTTTTAAGTCTCTGCCAGTTCATTCCAGTGTCATGACTTCTGTCTCTAACTGGTGCTTAGTTTGACCAGGATTAAATGATGCTGTTACTGATGGCATTAGTGCTGTAGCTTCTCCTAACCATATCTGGATGGGAGAAGAGAAGGTTAACCCTGCAGGATTCCATACATCACATGCCTTAATCTCAGCTTCATTTGGGTAGAAAAGAGGGCAAAAAGAACGTGACTGGCTCATTGAGGAGGTTCAAAAGATAACCCACGTGACCACTGCAAAATCCTCAGAGAAAGAAAAAGAAGTGAAAATTACTTAGAAAAAAAGCCTGTTGGTTAGCAATATAGTCTCTTCCTCTGGAGTCTCTGCTTGTCCACAGAGTCATAGTATCATGAAGGTTGTATCATCCAGTTCCACCATCAGCCCATCCCCACCATTCACACTAACCATGTCCCTCAGTGCCACATCTCCATGTTTCTTGAACACTTCCAGGGACAATAACTCCATCATTTCCCTGGGCAGTCTGTTCAATGCCTCACCACTCTTTCTGAGAAGAAATCTTTTCCTAATACCCAACTTCTCCTGGTGCAACTTGAGGCCACTGGGAATAGTTAAGAGCTAACTAAGAAGTGGTCAGTTTTGTTTTCCATACAGCCTTAATTCCTTTCTGTTCAAAAGCTTTCCTATACAGTAAAGGTCTTTCAAAACTTTCCTGATCATTGTTCGTAATTTTTAGCATAATTTTTTTTTTTTTTTTTCCCCAGTTGATTTGGCCCTAATGGGTTTGCCATTTTAAAGAACCAGGTTTGTTATTTTTTTCAGGAATAGGCTTAAGCCTCTTTCAACATAGCAATTTTCCTGTCATTGCTTCAGCCACTAGCTTTTTTTTTTTTTTTTCTTTTGCTAGGAATCAGTTAATCTTCACAAGTCAATAAAGAAAACAGATCTGACAAAATTCCCCTGTGCTCCCTGCAGTGCTTTTATGAGTTACCAGGTCATCAACTTTAATTTTTTTTTAATTCTGAGGACATTTTAGTATTGGCAGCCTAAGGCTTGCAGCATATGTCACTCAGGATGAAGTCTCCTGCGATAACATCATTTTTTTTCCCTCTACATATTATGGATAAATGATTAGGGAACAGAACATTCAGCTCTCTAGGGTGATTTAAGTGATCTGATGCAACTGTTCCTCCCCTGTGCTGTGCTGTTAAAGTATCGATCTGTAAGTATTCAAAAATCATTGGTTTCAGAGTTGTCAGGGGCTCAGAAATGGATAATACCACGTCTGACAGTCCCACTGTGCCCTCACTCGATCGATCCTTCTGAAATAGGTTTATAATTATTGATTTAACATCACAATCCCATGAATCTTGCCACTGAGTTTCAGTAGTACCAATGAGATTAAATTTATGCTCATGAGTAGTTCGAATTTCTCTTGTTTAATTATCCAAGTATAGAAAGACTATTAAGAATTTTGCCTTTTTTTTTTTCCTCTTGGTGCCTTTATTAATTTTCTTCTCAGCAACTTGAATTTTTTTTCTAAATGAATGCTCATTCATTACCCATTTGCCTTTCCCTCAAGTTGGGCTCATTTAATGCCCTCCTCCCTACCTGCCTACTCTAACCACCCTGCTCTGTAAGAGATCCCCTTCCACTCAGCTGGAGGTCATCACAGTTGTAAATCTCCATCTCTGATGCTACATAAAACAAACCCACCTTGATGGGGCTCCATCCATATGCAATCTTCCTGCCCTCTCTGACAAGGAGGGACCTTGGAGAGATTCAGCTAGATGTTATAGAATCACAGACTCATTAATTTTGGAAAAGATCGCCATCAACTCTTCACCATGTTGCCTTCCTCTCTCTTCTTTCTCTCATCTCTTGAGTACTACCAAAGCCATGAAGTTTGCTTCTACTCAATCAATGTTTTGCATTCATTCTTTGAAAACTGTCTCCAGAAAAACCACTGTCTTTTTCTAGTGCTTGTAGACCTCTTCCTCCATAAGCTTGCCCAGCCTCAGGCCATGTATTCTACCCTGGGTGTGATCAAAGGTATTTCCTACCTCAGTCTACTACCAACTTCTGCTTGTGCCAGAGTGTGGTAACCTTACACTTTCTCATTATGTGAAAAACCAAACATGAAACAAAGGGTTTTAGTGCTAGATAGAGGCACAGCCACAGTGTAAATGTAATTTAATGTAAATGAAACAGGTTATTTACAACTACTTAATTTATTTCCCTAGAAACTAACCATTATTCTTTTAAGGAAAAAATGTTATTTCAGAATGAAAAGGTACAGATTTCATTTTGATCGCTGTCAAAACTCATCATTCAGCATTTCCAAATATAAGACGCTTTTAAAATGTCAAAACATTGTTATGACTTTTACACAGATTTTTTTTTTCCCCACCATTTTAAACTAGAACTATCTGTGGTATTCAAAAAACATTTCTCAAGTTAAGCTTATTTCTCAGCAAGCTTTCCATTCATTAACAAAGAGTCCTGCTTTTATACACACCAGCCTTTGCAAACTATAACGGATGTTTCTTCCTTTTTTTCAGCTTCTGATCTTTCCCTGGAAGTGCTATCAGCAGCTTTGAGATCATATCGAGTGACAGGACTGAGCTCTGAGGAGACGTATTTGTTTTCTATAAGACCAGTCTTTGGAGATAGAGAGGGACCAGAGACAACACTCATTGGGCAAACAGGTATGAAGTCAGGAAGGTCATTCTGTAGTTTTTCGTAAGTATATGCTATTGTAGTTAATTTCTTGTTGTTTTGTTTTGCTTTCCTAAAATTTTGTTGCTTTACAAGGTAATACCGTCATAACTAAGATGTTGACAGTGATGGGTTGATTGATGGACTCGATGATCCAAGTGTCTTTTCCAACCTTCATGATTCTATGATTCTGTGTTGGCTGACAGCTGGACCTCACGGCGATTCACCTCCACCAGTCTTTCCCGTGACTTCTGCAAAAGTGGCTATGATGAAATCCCCATCTCCAAGCAATGTGAAGACCATTCCTCTTCCATCAGCCACCACTACATTACAACCAACCCTAAACACCCTCCTGTCATCTACCACAGCTTCTGCACTGCTGACAGCTCTCCCTGGTCCAAGTGAGTGTGTATCTGTGTTTGATTTCAGGATGATGTAGAACTGGGTCAGACCACCAGGAATGATGTTTTCCTCTGATCTCAGGAGCCAAAATCCTAGTCTTCGTTCAGTATGTAGTGAGAGTAGCCAGTGTTGGGGAAATTGAAGATTCAAGCCATATATATAATGCAATTAAGCTCTCAGCACCATCCTGTGGGGTGAAGGTGCTTGCTCACCAACACTTGGCATCACAGAATATACTTGAGCTGGCATTTGTTTCATTGTTCCATACACTCTAGGACCCCACAGCTTATAGAGATCCTCTCTTCTCTCTGCAGTCTGTGGCAAGTTCAAAGCAGACATTGGGTTCCTGGTGGATGAATCCTCAAGTATTGGCTGGAGTAATTTCAACAAAGTGAAGGATTTCCTCTTCCGGATCATTTCCTATTTCCCTAAGATTGGGCCTGAAGGGACACAGGCAAGCATTTGTTAATCTGTTTCCTGAAGGTGATTTCCGTCCAAGTCTTTACCCATTGCTTACCTCTGCAATGACAGCAGTCTGCTCACTCATGTTGAGATTCAGAGAGGTTTTGACTAAAAACACGCATCTAACAAAGACCAGAATAGAAGTCTTCTAAATCTCAGCCTGAATCCCTATTCATATGGAGATATTCCCATTGCTTGGTTATTTTGCTAAGACCAAGTCATTAGGAATAAAGCAAATCTCAAACCTATTGAAATACTGTCTAGTTTATGGCGCCCAGTGATGTATCAGCCTTTGGGTGCCTTTCTAGGATCCTATTTCATCCCACATCCAGACCACTAATGAGAAGAAATCCAGATTCTCAATCCATGGTATGAAACTTCTCAAGGGCAAAATGCAGCCCACAGTATTAAAACCGTGACCAAGCAAAGCCAGTGGGAGGACTCTGTAGATGTTTTATTTGGGGTCATTTGTGAATAATTAATGTTATATGTGAACTATCCCATTGAAATGAGGACCTATGTAGCTTTCAGTTGAAAAGGAAATGGGAAGCTTCTTGCACTCTTTCCTTGCAGGTAGCCTTGAAGGTTTAGGCGTGTGATGAATTTACCCTAATTTAACAAATAATTCTGGGGAGGTGAAGCCACCTCAGTTTAGGCTGGTGTCACATGAACTGAGTAGCTGAGCTCTCTTTGCTGTCGGTGGAGGATGAAGATTTGGTTGAGGAGATGCTGCTCCCACCCATCCATGAGCTGCCAGAATTGTATTTCCCATCAGGTCTGTGCTGTATCTACCAGCTTGTGCCAAAATTTCTGGTGCCCTAAGCACAAAATAGTACCTTGCCCATGCTTAAGCATCTGAATTGTAACGTAAGTGTTGTCTGTGAACCAAGTGTTTTTTGTTTTTTTATCTTTAAGAAATACAGACTAAGAAATACCACTTCTACTGCAGTGCCACTGGTTGTGTTATCCACTCAAGGAGATTTACTGAGTGATCACTGAGTCATAGAATCATTTGAGTTGGAAGGGACCTTAATTAATGGCCATCTAACCCAACTGCCCAACATTGAACAGGGACAACTATAGCTAAATCAGGTTGCGCAAAGCCTGGTTCAGCCTGACTGTGGATGTCTCCAAATAATGGCACCTTTGCTGTGCTCCTGAGCCCTCCACATCTCTCATCCTTTTGTTTTTTTTTTTTAAATCAGGTTGCTGTTGCACAGTATAGTGAGGAGCCCAGAGCAGCATTCCACTTCAACCAGCATCAGGACCGCAAAGGTGCTCTGAAAGCTGTCAAGGAGCTGCACTATGCTGGAGGCAACACAAAAACAGGTGTGTATGTGTGAATCTATACACGTTGGGAAGCTCTTTTGGGCCAAGACAGAGGGTCAAGGCCTGGGAAGGTGGATGAATGTTTTGAACCAGTTTACCTGGTTAGAAAGTTATGGTCTAAAGTTCTGTAAAATTTGAGAGCAGAGAATTATGTGTGTTTTTATTCCCAGGGATGATCTATCCAGCTATTCTGGTGTCCTTTATTTGTGTCCTAGTTTTACTGCTGGGTTTCTCTTCATTGTTTTATAACCTTGAGGGAGATTTTTATACCTGGCTTGGAGACCTAGCCCGTAAACATTAGATAAGGATGGTTGATGCTGAAGCATCCTTATTACCCTCTCCATGCACATTTTAATCAGCAAGTTCCGATTGTTATTGCTTTGCTGCCCTAACAACAAAACAATGTACCTAGTCTTACTTTCATGACTTGCCATCACATAAATGTTTCCTCCTGATGTACAAATAGCACAGCTCACCATCAGCTTAATCTCTCAGAAATTCAGAAACTTGTCTTATACTGTCAAAACCTCAGGCAACACTTTCTACCTACACGTTCCCAGAAGCATGGTGGGGTATACCTACTTCCTTGAAAGTACAAAAGCAGTAATATTAAATTGAAGGTGATTAGTTTTAACTTTTTTAAATGGCACACCTAAATGTCTTCTAGTCAGTAAACATGGAAGGAAGCCTTGAGGAATCCACATACATTAAATGAAGACTTGTAAACCTCATCCTGGCTCAGTGGTATTGGTCAGGAACACATAGGGCTGGTCAGAATGCAGTAATTTGGATGGGAAATCCAAATGGATAGGGAAAGTGGCTGTGAAACTGGGCAGACTGCAAACTGTTCAGTTACCTTGCCTCTAGTACTATTATTTTTGTGTGTGTGGGATTTGTGTCAATGGAGGCATTTTACCTCCCTTAGGAGTCTTTCCATGCTATTCTGGGGCTTCTTACCCATTTCAGCTGGAAAGGGAGTCCTTTAGGAAACTTTCCTGATCTTTCTAAAGAAATTTGAAAACGAGAATTCTGTGATTTTTTTCCCTAAAATTTATGGAAAGTGCTTCACATCTCCCAAATGTGTCTTTCCTTTTCCAAAACTATCTGCAACCATTTCAGCCAGTCTGATTTACTGCTGTCTTCCCTCAAAATGCATTGCCCCTCTTTAAGGCCTACTGGCTATTTATGGGACCACACTGAATCCCCTCATCCCTCTGTGCATGGAATGGGAACCTGCCTGTACACCTAACACTTCTGTAGATTTAATTTGTTTCTCTCCATGTTTGCCCAGGTCGTGGTATAGCCTTTATGCTAAAGGAATTATTTCAACCCTCCAGAGGGATGAGACCAGAGTTCCCTCATGTGCTGATGCTTGTGACTGATGGGCGATCCCAGGATGATGTGTTGCCACCTGCCAGAGCAGCCCATGCTTTGGGTAAGAATTGCCCTATTGTGTTTCCATAAGGTCTTGGTTGTCCTCCATGTACAGCCAGATGCTGTTGTGTGAATTCATAGAATCATAGAATGGCCTGGATTGAAAAGGATCACAATGATCATCCAGTTTCAACCCCCCTGATATGTGCAGTGTCACCAACCACTAGCCCAGGCTGCCCAGAGCTACATCCAGCCTGGCCTTGAATGCCTCCAGCAATGGAGCATCCACAACCTCCTTGGGCAACCTATCCACTTCAAGTGCATTGTTGGCTTTTATCACTTCTTCATCCTTTCTTCTTCCTGTTCTTGACTTGAGAACCTTTGTATTGCTGTAACTCACACACACTGCTGTCAGTGAATTCTGTAGCAGCTAGTTCAGTACCTAGTTCCATCAGAGGTTGTTAACAGCAAGGCTGTGGTGAGGGGTTTGGAAACTCTGATGTTAGACATTTTTGCTTCTGTTGAAAGAGTGATGTGTTTCAGGAATCCGCATCATTGCTGTGGGTGTCTCGGGAGCTGACCCTGCTGAGCTCAACGACATTTTACTGCAGCAGAATCTCCAGAATGTTTTCTATGTGAGCACATTTGATGAGTTCCCCCATATTCTCCGAGAGCTAATAGAAGTCATTTGCTCTGACCTTCAGCCCTCAAGGGCCCCACTGCCATCTGGGGAGGTGAGCTGGTTTACAGAACTTTGAATAAAAGGCAAATTATCTGTCATAGGTCATGCACAAGGACAGTCTTCTTTCCAAAATAAAGTTTCAAAGAAAGTAACAGATTTAGAATACTGGACCTAATCCTGAATTCACCCACTGTCCAGTCCTGGACATAGAATCATAAATTCATTAAAGTTGGAAAAGACCACTGAGATCATCTAATCCAACCATCAACCCATCAGATCATCTAGTCCAACCATCAGCCATCAACCCATCAACGTGAAGAACAAAAACTGAAAACAAGGCAGTAGAACTGGAGAAGACAGAACAGAGCTTCAAATGTTTTGTCATATACAGCCCCTCCAGGGCCAAAGTATTTGAATGTATTATAAATATATTACTTTCTTCTAATTCTGATTTATGGATCTTTGGTAAGGATGTGTATGATGGGTTTTCTCCAACTGTGATACAGCTATTTCAATGAATAGGCTGGTGACATGAAAGCATAGTAACCTCTTGAGACATGTTAAGGGTTGATATGTGATGTCTGGCCCAAAACCTGGTCGATCATCAGTCTAACTCAAACTCCATGCTGTAGGTTGCCAGACCTGAAGCTGACAAGCAATTGCCATTTGATGACACAGACAACAAGGTACACCTCCCCGATCCATCACCAGCTGAACCAGACATCAAGAAAGGAGTGGAGGCTTGTGGTCCCTGGTGTCTAAAGGTGAGAATTCCTTTACTGATTCACAGGAATGTAAATAATACATAGAATCTTAAAGGCATCTAGGTTGGAGAAGATCTTCAAGACCACGATGTTCAACCACCAACCTGACCCACTGAGTCCCATCACTAAACTATATAGGAACCAATCCATAGTGGTAGAGCTTATCTCTCACTTCTGCTTTGTAAGACAAGGGATGTGCTAGCCTGTGTTTCCTGGTTTTATTTGCCATTCTTTGCTGAATCTATAGGTCATTTCTTCCATTTTCCTTTTCCTTTCAAGAACTCCAGGGGCTCACCAGCTCGTGGAGGTTATGACCCATATGGGTTTACTATGAAGGGAGAGAAAGGAGAGAGGGTGAGTCCATTTTCATTTGCTTGGTTAATTAATATACAATTAAATGATTAGTAACAACAAGGAGATCTTCAGATCTTTTTATGCTGGTGTTTTAATAAATGTTGCCCTACGCTGGCTTTGAGAATCAGGCAAAAAGGAACTTTTTAAATGTTTGTATTTTTCTGGCAACTGAGGATTCCCTCAAGCAGTGCAGAAAGTCAGTGATGCATTAAGACATTCCAGTTGGCAGGTCTGCAGCCATAACTTGCAGACTATTATTTTTAATTTAGGGTCTACCTGGGAAGGATGGCATTCCTGGACTGCCAGGTAGACCTGGACGAACAGGTCCTCCTGGTCCCCCTGGACTCATGGTATGTGTTTGCTTTAGCAAACCCCATAAGAATGGCATTTAATGGAGAAGTGAGCGTGGCTCTCAATTCTCTCTTTCCTGTTTTGTAGGGTCTCCCTGGCATCCAAGGTGATACTGTAAGTATTTCGAATGCAGTGAATGTCATCAATACAGTGGGAACCTAAAGCTTGATCATTTCACAGTGATGATCTTGTGGGTGCTCTATGGTTTAATGTTTCATGATTTGTTTTTAATTCCAGGGATCTCCAGGCTATCCGGGACCAGTGGGGCCAAAAGGTGACAGGGTGAGTTTCATTCCTGGGTTTATTTGCAAAAAAAGCTCTTATATTGCTGTGATTTCTTGTTTCCAAGCAGTTGCACAGGGACCTTTGGTACATATGAACTTTTGAGTTATATATAACAACTATAGTCATCAACTGTGGGAGTTGTCCTTCAGCTCAGCTAGGAGATATTTAGTGTCTTCATGGAGAAAACTGCTCAGTTCTTATCACAGGTCCATGGCATGTTTCAGTTGGATATTTGCAGAAGCAGGTAGCTGTTGGTTGAGTCATTCTGCATTTTTGAGGGTTTTCATTATGAATAAGCCTGTTTATACACATTTAAGACACAGAAAGGTAAGGTTTCAAGACTAGTTGTAGGCAGTTCCTAGAAACAGCTATCCTGTCCTTCCCTTATCCCCAGATATTTGTTTCTACTCCTTCCTTGCATCCACTTGAGCTGTCTGTATGGCTGTACCATGCCCTCTTTTTGCCTGGATCTCCCAACACAGCTGAATGTGCATCTTTCTTTCCTTGCATGCAGGGAGAACCTGGTTATGTCCTGGGAGGAGTGGAGGTGATTCCTGGCCGAAATGGGCATCCTGGTCCCCCTGTGAGTATTGTTCCCAGGTGTGGTGGACCCTTCAGTCTGTGGCACTGACAGAGCAGCAAAGGGATCTGGGAAAGAGCTCACATCTCTATTTCCCCTGGTTTTCATTATTACAGGGACAGAAAGGACAGCCAGGAGTTCCTGGGGTAGCAGGACCACAGGGTTTACCTGGCTTACCAGGACCACAGGGACCACCAGGCATCTCCATCAAGGTGAGCAAAGCTATCTGCACCATGGCTCTGTGATACTCATCCCAGAAAGGGAGAATCTGCCATAATCCAGAACCTCTAGATACTCTGCTTATTCAAGGGCCCTAAGAACACACATTTCTTCTCTCCATCATGGAATGATCTCATTGAGACACAGAAAGATGAACTCTGCATGGCTTTCCTTGCCACCAGGACCCTGCTGTTCAACACAGTGGAGATCAATAATGGAGCTTGTAATACAGTCAGCTTTGCCTGATGTGAAACCAGATTCAGTGGCCACTAAGACATAGAATCATTAAGGTTGGAAAAGACCTCTAAGATCATCTGGTCCAACCATCCACCCACTACCACTACCAATATTGCCCACTAAACCACGTTCCTCAGTGCCACATATCCATGTTTCTTGAACATCTCCAAGGACAGTGACTCCACCACAACCCTGAGCAGCCTGTTCCAGTGCCTGACCACTCTTTCAGAGAAGACGTTTTCTCAATATCCAACGTTTACAACTCTGGGTCCCCATGAAGGTTGTTCAGTAGCTGGAGTGAAATACTCAGAATTACTTGTGCTGTGCACAGCCAAAATCACATAAATAATATGTGTCAAAAAGTCTCAGAAGAGTTCTAGAGACCTGAACTCCCCTCCTATCTATTCCAAGTGTAGTGGCTGATAAATTTTTCAGGCTGAGTCTGGCCCATGCAAGATAGCAGACACCTCTACTGAAGCTCAATTTCCTTCGAGAGTGGGAAGTTTTGGTCTCTGGGGCTGTCATCCTGCAGGAGATTTTGGCCAGGATCTAAATGCAGAGAGATTATTATCCTGCAGTAATACTCTTTGTCTTTTGTGTTTCAGGGTGAACCAGGGGATTCAGGTCTCAGGGTAAGTACCTGAGATTGACTTTCATGTTACTGTATGATAGCAATCTTCTTTTTTTATTATTTATAACTCACCCAATAGGTTCTGATTTCAGTACTTTCCAGATGTCCATCCAGACCTGAAAAGGTCAGTGGGACAAAATGTAAGATTGTTCTGTGCTTCACGCAGGGCCCTCGTGGAAAGAATGGCATCAAAGGGGACAGAGGAGGCATGGGAGAGCAGGTGAGTTGTCCGTCAGTGTTCAATCACTATGGAAGAGCCATTGGCCATATTGGGATTGGGCATTGGCCTGGGAACACCAGCTGTCACATAGGGTGGGTGGGGAGGGACATCATCTACTGCCAGCTCATGTCAGCCACCACTGTGAAATGCTTTGATCTGCTGATGAGGACTGGCACATGAAGGAGGGCCAGTTAAGCATTTCTCACCTTGTAGTCTTCATCCTGCTGATCCACCACTTATGAATAACCAAAAGGAAAATGTTAGGAGCACAAAACAGGACACTAATTATACTAAAAGCAAGGACATGTTCTCATGGCTCAGAGCAAACCTGAGATAACTACATCCATTACCATGCTCACAATGACCACAAACCCTTTGACACGATCAATCATGCTGATGGACAGTAGAAAATGTTGCATGATGAAGGCTGCTCCAAAGTGGCAGTGATTTCCACCTTGAGCCCCTGTATTACCCATGGAGCAGCTGAGTGCAGCACGTCTCCTTCCCACATCCCAAACTTCTCCCCCCCTCAGGAGGACAGAAAAGAGCTGGGGCAAATCCAGAGGAGAGAATAAGGTGGCTCAAAAGTGTAGGGTCGTAAATAGACTGTGCGGGTGGCAGATTTGGGACAAACAAAAAGGAGGTGACTCTTCACGCAAGAAATCCCACATGGATATTTTCAGCATTGGAAGAGAGACACAAGAAAAGAAATAGTCCATGGGGAGCTACTAAGGATAAAGAAACCAAGTCTGGTTTGGAAAGTGTGTACAAATAATTCAAACTTGAGAGACGAGTACCCAGTCTCTATCTTCCCATACAGCAAACACTTCTATTTTTCCCTTCCTGACTGACCAATCATCCATAACTCATTCCTGGGAGGGGGGAGATGGGGGACATCTTGGGTACACGTAATCATCTCTGTAAATCCTCAATTGCAAAGCAACTGGCAAGACAGGCACATCAGGAAATATATTTCTCTGCTTGTGTCTCTGCAGACTTCTCTTTAGTATGATTGGTAACAAACAGTTTGGAAGAAGAAAGACATGATAATGTATTTTCCTTTCCAGGGGAAACCTGGCTTGCCAGGCCCTGTAGGGCTGGATGGTGTTCCTGGACTGCCTGGACCAAAGGGAGAAAAGGGAGAAAAGGTCATTACTCTTATTAGATTCTTGTGAGATCCATCATCCCAAGAGGGAGCTAAGAGTAGCTGAGATAAAGTAATATCAATGTGAAAATAAAGTGGAGATATATAGGGATTTTCCCCCATTCCCCTCTACTCCCAGCTCATATGTGCTCAGTCTGTGCATGGTGGAGTATTTGCTTCCTTTCCATCCAAGCTCTTGTTTTCTCCCTATCCTTTTTCTTCCACCCAGTGGAAGATCTCTGCAGTTCCTGCTGCCTCCCAAGCCCTGCATGCTTCCTATCCCCTGTATGGGATTGCTTCAAGTAGTCCCTGAAAACATCCTTGCTTTTAATTCTCTTCACCAAATCATTGCTTGTGCCTTGTCTGAGGTTATTGGCTGGACATATATCTTAGCTAAATGGTTAGAGAGCCAATTTCTCACCTCATCCTCAGCAGGAGGAGAACAGAGCTCTGAAGCAGACTGCAGGGAGGGTAGGATGTATCATACTTTGCAGTTTAGCATTTGGTACTTGTGTGCACAATGCTGTGCTTACCTTGCAGGGGATGGCAGGAATTGGCATTCCTGGCACTGCTGGCCCAAAGGGGGAAGAAGGACAGCAGGTGGGTTTGCCATTTTGCTGTGAGATTTCTTCTGAAATCCCCTTGGAGTGTTCATTGTCTCCAGAGTCTTCTCCAGTACCTCTTCTGTAGGTTGTCCCTGGTGGGTACATCCTCTGGTTGCAAATGGAAAGGGATAAAGAAAGGAAGAAAGTGAGTTTTAAAGTCTGAGCTTTCATTTTTTCATCTTTTTTTTTTTTTTTTTAAGGGGGTGATGGGCCCTCCAGGAGTACCTGGACCAAAGGTAGGTACCAAAACACTGAACCCGAGTCACTGTGCCTGGCACTAAAAATGCCAAAGAAAGAAACCAGCTCTAATGATCATCATATGCTGTAGAAACGTGAACCTCTTACTCAAAAACAATGGAAATAATTCTGTGCACCAGCAGTCATTGACCCATGGAAGTCATTGAACCATAAAGGTCATCGTTGTGGGATGTTGGAGACATTGGAATGGCAGTGAGATGCACTGTCTTGGTAAGAAGTGCCCATCTTTTTCAGCTGTTGAGGAAAGAGGAAACCTTAGCTTGGCCAATTCTCTCAGCTTGCTCAAAGGCTTGAGGGCTGTGGGAAGGAAGGATTTGGGGGTCTGGATTACTGTAGTTCCAGTCCTTATCTGGCAAGGCTGCTGTGAACCATAGGTAGATGAAGCTTAGCAAGGACTGGTCAGGAATGAAGTCAAGAGGGCAGAAAGATGTCCTTGAATTGCTGTTTGATAGCAGAACAAGACTGCAACCCAATACACCAAATTTCCACAGGCCTTGCTCAGGAGAGCTGAATTTCCATAGCACAGGGGGTGCCAGGCATGGGTTCAGGTGGTACATAAGCCACCTCATTACTCTTCCAAGTTCTTATAGCTCTTGGAGGTGCAAATGCTTATAATCAGGTTGTCCCCTTCTGCATGTCCCTTTCTACAAGTAGCTCAGGCTATGCATTGAGATGATGACCAATTGAATCTGAGCCAATTACTTATTTCAGGTCAGATGAGGTCAAGAATATCCAATTTAGGTCAAGTAAGGTCAAAAATGTTCACCTTGAACCCAAAATAAATTCTTGCCATAATTTCAGGAGATGTGAAAAGAGAAGGAAAAAATAATCTCCAAAGAGATGTTCCATTCAACAAAATATTTTTCTTCCTTTTGCTGTTTTTTTGTTGGGTTTTTGTTTGTTTGTTTGTTTGTTTTGTATATATCACAAAATGGAGGACAGTCGTTACATAAAATGTAAGGTCATTGCAAATGGTAACAGCCAGCTTGCTGTTCATGTCTTGCTCTTCATGATAGCAAAGATGTCTTTGAATTGCACAGTCCTGGTCCACACAAACATGAGCCTGTGGCCAGATGCTCTGTGGACTCCTCTTGAGGAAAAGCAAACTTTATTAGGGTGGTCACTGGTGATGTTGGCCATACCCAAGGACTTATAACTTACGCTATACCCCACATGTTGAAAGTACTGAATCTGCTTTCAGTCTGGTGGAAATTCTCTTTTGATGTCTTATAGGGACTTCCAGGACCTCCAGGGCAGAAGGGAGTCCAAGTAAGTCAAACAGGAAGAAAATAGGTTTGACTAGCTCAGCTGAAGGTGACTTGAATTTCTGCAGCTTGTAGACACAGTCAGGTGTGTTTATGGTGGGACTACACAGAGAAGAAGTCAAGTGAGCATCCCTGGAAGCTCAGAATCTCCCCTCTGTTTTGCTCTTCTGCTTCTGAACTGAGTTTTGAGTTGATTTCAGGAGGTGTATGGAGGAGAGCAATGAGCATTGCCCCAGATTGTTCACTTCATGTCATCTTGCTTTGCAAGAGAACACAGGATTTCCAGGTGCTCCAGCTCTGGGGGTAATTATGAGTGGACTACAGCCTTTCTTGTGCTATAGTCATTGAGTACCACCAACAGTGGTGCCAGTAAACCAAGGACCAAGGGAGATGTGTCCCACTAAACTTCAGAGAAAACTGTAAGACCTCACCCCTGATCCTCCAACCATGTCTTCTGCTGAGACCTATCACCAAGACAGACTGGTGCATCCTGGATGATATTTTATGATCAAGGGCATGCACTGCTGGTTTATTTCACAGTAGCACTGGCAGAATTGATTTAGAGACAAAAGGTAGAAAGACAGCTTTATAATCCCTAAATCAGGGTCATAGTACAGTCATGAAGATTCATTGCTGTCCAAAGGTCAGTCCTTGGTGTATATTAGCATGGGCTAAAGCAGCTATTTGCCAACTACCCTTTTTATAAGAATGATCCTTCAGTCACATCCTTAGACCCAAAACCTACTGAAAATGATGGGATTCTGTCACTACCTTCACTGAGTTTGGGATTTAGCTTGTATCCCTGTTGGGCATTTTATGATCCACTGTAGGCGATGCATTTCTTATCCCATAGCAAGGCTGACATTATCTTGTTTAGGAAGAGGCCATGCGAACCTCTTTGAAAGGGAGACTATTGACTAAATAAGAGGGTACTTCTGTGATTTATTTTATCCTCAGGTTTTGGGACCACCAGGCAAGAAAGGTGTCAGGGTAAGTCCATTAATTAGCTCTGCTTGAAATTTAGATAAAACTTTGCCTGAAAAAGGGAGGCCTGGACTATGAATCATATATCCCTTGTGATGAATGGGAGAGGAGAGGTTGGAAAAATAGCAGTAATCTTGCCTTGCTGATAATTCTTTTGCTTTTATTAACATTTTGTGCCTGTCATTCTCCTTCTTCCTCTAGTCCATGGGGAAATTTGGTATTTCCATGTGCTAGTTTTAGGACACAGAGTTCACAGAAGCACAGATCCAGCCTACACACAGAAATTACTATCCAGACAAGGGAGGCATTGACATTAAACCAAAGAATAGATGAGGCAGGAGGGAACTTCTAAGGGTCTCTAGTCTTACCTCCTCCTTAAAACATGGCCAACTTCAATACCAGGTCAGATTGCTTCAACCATAGAGTTGGCATAGAGTTCCCAAATACCTGGGGCTTTGATCCAGTGATTGGCCTCTCCATGGCTGGAGGAATCTGAATTTCCCAAATGAGAAAGATTCCTGAGATAGAGCTGTTCCCTGACTGTTGGCCATATTGTACATCATCTGCTTTATATTGCAACACATATAGTTCACTTCTGCAAAGTCTTTGTGGTTGTACAGGGCCTGGAGTATTTGAAACATTTATTTTTTTTTTATTCTTTATAATTTATTGTCAATCTGCAGAGAAATAAAAGATCTCTCTTATCTTTGTAAGGAGTATTTACTGCAGGAGAAACTCCTCTTGGCTTTTTGACTCCTGGCATTCATGAAATTATCTTCATACTTCCCTTGCCCTTTAGAGATAATGAGTTCTGCCCTTCTGTCTGAACTTGAATGTTGGAGTCACCTCCATTCATTGGTTTTATTCTCCAGACTGGTTAATAGTGGTTATCAAAATGTTTCTCTTCTTTTAGTCTCGATGATGTTAGATAATGACCTTGGGCCTGAATTTTATCATGCTTGATACTACTCTAAAGCCACACAGCACTTCATAGTTGCGTAAAGTTTCATATATCACCAGTTGCATGGCATGAGAGAGTCTAGCTGTTGTGATGGGCTTTGTATAACAGAAGCCCCAAGTAATAAAGGGAAAACTTCAATAGAAACCCAAAGATGAATGGGGTGGATGGACTGAATGGAAGGATGAATGGTATGGATAGAAGGATTGGATAGATTTCCCAACAGAATGGATTTTCAGAGTGGATTGGATGTGCAGAATGTAGCTTTAGCAAGCTACTTGAAAATGGCTTGGTTTTCCTGCATGATATTACTGCCTTTTGGGATGTCTTTATAAACAGGGAGATATTGGACCAACGGGGGCCCCGGGACCACAAGGAGACAAAGGAATACAAGGAGACAAAGGAGAGAAGGTAACATACTTGCTCTTGTTCTCTGAATATTTTCAAGAGGGGGGTAGGTGTGGCACTTAGGGATGTGGTTTAGTGGGCATGGTGGTGGAGGATTGATGGTTGGACTAGATGTGGTCATTTCCAACCTTAATGATCCTATGATTCATGTCTTGAGCTTGGAAGCTGCTCTTGCAAGACACTGCATCATCTCCTTTTGCATCTTGCTTAGAACCAAGCAAACATTAGCAACTAATTCCCAACAGTTATAGAAAGGAGGAGGAACAGGCTGGCCCTTAAGGGGCTGCAAAGTGATAATGGGTTGAAGATAGCTAACAATTAATATGGCACAGGGCATGCTACCATGAATGAAGAGTGGAGTGGGATAGTGTCTCCACAACTAATGAAAGACAATTGAAGAATAGTAGCCAAGATGTGCAAAATCCAGATGGGGAAATTGAGACACTGGGTTCCCCAGTCCATGTTTTAGTGAAAGTTCTCTCTCCACAATAGCATCTTCTAGAGGTGGCAAGCAGTGTGTTTAGGAGGGGAGAAGGATGTGATAGCTATACAGAGAACTGGAAGGTGAGACTGGCAGAGGGTTTACACTATGTCATTGTCATTGATTTTTGCAGGGAAATCCAGGTTTTGGCATTCCTGGTCAACCAGGTCTGAAGGGAGACACGGGGGACAGGGTAAGTGGGGCAACACACTGGATGTAAATAGGGAACAGCTAAGGAGACAAATCAGAAGCAATTTCTCAGTCACCTCCATGCATATGAAGTCAGTGGCTGTCACTCACAAGGCCAGTCATCATCAAATTAATACCACACTGATAATGAGAATCTGGGCTGTCACTCTGTCTTTGGTGCTCCCATGCTTATCGTGTGTTATGGAGCAGTCTGCACCCAGCTGTGGAGCCAACACTCCTGATTCTGGAAGAAAGCATGGGAAGTCAAAGATCATCCGGGAACTCTGTGGGGAACAAAACCAAGGAAGCCCAATTTCCAGTGGCTTTGTGTCCTGACATGGTTTAGTGAGCATGATGGTGATGGGCTTGGTGATGGTTGGACTAGAGGTTCCCAATGATCTTTTCTAACCTTAATTATTCTATGATTCTGTAAAAGGAAACTTGACCTTCATCTTCCTGACTTATGTGTCAAAGGTGCAAGAATCTGGTGGTTCCCACTTGTGTTCAGTAATATCTAGCAAGGGTTGAGTTTGTGTTTCCTCCTACGAGAGTATTCATGGTCCATTTTGCTTTACTCCAGCAATGACTTGTAAAATTCAGAATCTTTGAGATTCCCACCCCTCTATCAAAGTCAATGGTTTTAGAAGTGGTGAAGACAGATGCATCTAGACATCCTGTGTTTGCAGCAGCCCTTCTCTTGGGACACCATATGGTTTCTCCTTCTCTGCATCATACTAATCTTTTCCATCTGCTAGTACCTGCAATCAAGGAGCAGCTCTGCAGCATTAAGTCTGATGCTGACCCTTTAGATATGGCAAAGGACCCTTATCTGAAATTTTCCTACCTCTGTCATTTTGACCATGTGACTAATAGTGTCTATTTCTGCAGGGAAACGTAGGCTTGTCTGGCAGACCAGGTTACAAGGTGAGTATATGATGCAGTGATTGCAGCCCCGTTTCATGACTGATGTCTGTGTCACTCAACATAACTTGAGCCAGCGAAGTTGTATCTTTGCTGTGGGGGTAGAGTCAAGATGTGAGGGACATTCAAAAGCTGAAAAGTTTGAACAGATCCTGCTTTGCTGGAGTCTCCATGTGACGCACAGAGCTTTGCACAGGTAAACAATGACAAGATGACGTGGAAAGGGGCATAAATTCTACAAACGCTGTCTTGTAGGATTTGTGAGCAATGGCTGCTTGTGGGGTCTGAATGGACCAATTTTAAGATGGATGTTTCCATCTGAGCCAGCTAAGCAAAAAAAGCAGAGCACGGCCTTTCCCAGTGCTATGAGCCCAAACTTCAGCCAGTGGTGTGGAAGAAATTGCATGGCCACGGTGCCATGAGCCTGTCCCATGATGTCTAAAATGACAGCAGTATGAAATATACAAGAGGAACATAACAACTACCTTGCTTTCTTTAGGGGGAAATAGGTCCGAAGGGAGAGAAAGGTGAACCAGGATTACCTGGGAAACCAGGCGAGAACGGCCTAAGAGGTAAAGATGTAAGTAGAAGCTACAAGTCCAGGTGGATGGTTGTGCTGATACACTCTGTGACAAGCCAACAACCCTAGGTTACACCCTTGCAGAATTAGGAACAAGAGACAACATGGGACCAGTCAGGAACACACATCTTTTATAAGTCTGGCTGAGGAAGAGACAAGTCTCAGCCCAACAGTGGCCAACAACATGAGTCTAGGCAGGCTGCCTCAAATTAGACATGATGGGTTGTTCATCAAGGGATACACCTTCTTATTTGCTCTGTCTTTTCACAGCAAATGAGAAGAGGGATCATTTTTGGGGTGTTTTTCAGGCTCTGTTTTGGGGTGAAGTCTCTTTACCTTTGGTCAAAGTGAAGTGAGCACACAGCACCATAGTTGACTTGCTATTCAACATGGTGAGCTTTTGTCATTGAATCAGTGTTAAATACAAGGAACAACCATGGTGTGCAGTCACACCAGCCCTGAATCTTTTGTTTTTACAGTACAATAGATCCCTCTTTCAGTCAATCAAGGTGGCATTTCCCAAGAGCTTCATGGCTGGGTTCAGGTAAACCTCTCCTATCAGTAGTCACTGAAGACTTTCCTTTAGTCCAAAGGGCTGAGTTGATGCCTGAGCATCAAGTGGAATAGGACCACCAAGAGAAGACTTGAGAAAAAAAAAAAAAAAGGAAATTATAGTGAAAATAAACTGGTTACAAGGCTAAATGTAACCTAGCATTTTTGCATTGTGTTTTAGGGAGAACCAGGGAAGAAAGGCATCTCTGGGATGAAGGTAATCAGTGGGATGTCCAACTCTTCTGGGGTTATGTAGGTGCCAAAGACAACAGCCTCACTCATGACTGCAGTGGGTACAGCAGTGTAGGAGAATAGTAGTACTTAGGGTGAAGTTCCTTGTAGCCCAGAATCTCTTCTCCAGTTAACTAAGCATGAGTTAGTTGAGCAGCATCTGCAAAACCTGTCCCTTTGATTTGTTTTAAAACTAACTCCTACTTATTTTATTTTCTATTGCCTTGCTCTTGAATTACATGAGACTATGAAGAATACTCATTATATTTTCTATGACTTTATTTTGTTTTGGCTTTGGTTTTTCATCTTCTAAAGCTAAAGGATAAAAAAGAAAGACCAACAAGAATCAAGTCGTGTTTCCTTTGGGAGATAGTTCTTTATGCTCAGCAGCAGAAAGCAGATTACAACAACTCATAGTGGGGTCTGGTGGAAATTTCCTCCATAGATATGAGTAGTCTGATGTTACCATATACCTTCAAATCCATTTACTCTAACACTAGGGTAGATCTAAAACATCAACGCTGGTTAATTATAATTCAGATCACCATAGGGCTGTTTTGGTACCAACTTTATAAGCTCCAAAGAGGAGACCTTAGCTGCTTTAGGGCCATTGGAATGGTAGTAGGGCTTGGTACTTACCCTCTAAAATGTTTTCTCCATGTGAAAGTGCAGTAAAATTAGTACCACCAGTGAAGGTTCAGGCTTGAACGAAGAAGGCTTTTTAAAGCTTCTACTTCTCTTTTTCAGGGAGAAGCTGGTGCCCCAGGAGAACCAGGAGAGAGAGGAATGAGGGTAATTACTGTTATTATCATAATTTTCTGCCTAGGTGAGCATTTTTCTTGTTTGCTTCACTTTTTGGAACTACTGGATGTGTTCTATTTCTGATTGTTTCTTGGAACCCTTTCTCATTAGGGTCCACTTGGACTCCCAGGACGACCTGGAGAGCAGGGGATAAAAGGCGACCCAGGAGAACCTGGAAAGGATGTAAGGCAAATCCTAAAAGGGCAGTTGCACCTATGTTCTGTCTGATCTCCCTCTAACAGCTTAGGAAAACACTGGCTAACAAAAGGACAGAGATCTTAAAGATGTGATGTTTCTACAAACTCTGTGAAAATGAGCAACTGAATGGGAATGTCCCTAATGAGTCTACCTGCTGAGGAAGAGGCTACAATCACAGCCCTTATTAAATATCAGAGTTCCTCTGCAGGAGTGAGGGTGAATTCCAGATTTTATTAGCTTAGCTGCTCAAGGAAGGGTTTGTTAGTCTATTGAAGGCTGTGCCAGCTAGAAGATGCTGAGGCTCCCCTCCCCTACCACAGCTTGTTCTCACCCTGCCTCTCTCTCCCCTTCCTAGGGAATTACTGGAGAGAAGGGAGACAAGGGTGAATCTGTAGGTTTGCACATTCTCATTTATAAATTTGCATGATAGAATGTCTGTTTGGTGGCTAAAATGCTGAACTGTACCACTCACTCTTTTTATGGGGATGTTGTATCTTCACAGGGTATGCCCGGGCTGCCTGGGACTCCTGGAAGCATTGTGAGTATTGCCTTCTTCTGCTGACTCATGCATTTAATCAGGAAAGGGGTATGCTGATGGTTGGACCTGATGATCTTAGTGGTCTTTCCAACTATAATGATACTATGATTCTATGTTGAGATATATCATGAATCCTGGGTACCACAGGGAACACACTGCCAGAAATATGGAAATTGCTGTAGAGCAATTTCCCTCTTAGCCTTATCAGAAGAGACAAAGCAGTACAGCTACTTCCTCTGCATGTGTGGTCAAATGAATATCCATCCAAATCGTTTATCATTGGTCATGCAAGAAGCTCGTGACACAGAAGAGAATAAAACCTGGGTATGAACTTGTCTTTTGGAAACGTAGACGCAGAGACCAACATCACAACCACCCTGAATCTCTGAGACATGAGCAGAAAGTGGATACACTGACTCCCTTTTGTTTTGAGTCCAAACACAACATGTTCACATTGCTGGTTGAGAGGAAGCTGCTGGCTTTGTGCCTATGGTTTATCTGGGATAAAAGGCACATGGAGATGAGACATCTTCCTTCACCAGGCTTCTTCCATCTTTTGCAGATGTCTTCTCTGGAGAATACCATCACCCTGAAAGGGGAAAAGGTATTTTGCTTAAAAATATTTGTCTTGAAGCTGAATATGTGATTATTTTGCATTTCTCGGATGTTGTGTAGCTTCATTACTTTTATAAGACAAAGACTGCAAGCACATCCTGAAACTCACAAGCTCCGTAAGCAAATTCTTGCTGTTCCCACCTTCAACAGCAAAGCTACTTCAAAATTAATGTATCCCTTTTGAAGTTGATGTTCAAAAGGTGAACATCAACTCTCCTTCCAAGACCCTTGTGTTTTTGCAGGGCAAACAAGAGTTAACTCAGTAATGAGGGGAATACATTCAGGTTCTGCCACTGTCAGCCTGACTGCTTGGCTTAAAGGGAATAAGATGATTTGGATGCTGGAATGACTCTGGTGTTTTTTCTAGCACAAGTATATTGCTATTATAGAAGCTCCCTTGCTATAGCAATAGCTCTGCTTCTGAGTGGGTAAGAGATTTTATTAGTGCTTGGGTGGGTCACAATAGAATGGATCCAGCACAGATGGAAGCATCAGTGAGGGGCAGTAATGGTATTATTAACCAAAGTCACTATCAGGGAAAAGAATCAATAGAAAAAGTCTCAGGCATGGGAACTCCTCTCAAGGACCTAAATAGTGTATTTCGAGTGAAGAACAGAGATACTCCTGATTTTTCCTTAATTATGTGAGTCAGTGAGGTAGTTGGAAGAAAAGGCTGGTTGGTCCATGTGGACGAAGACTTGGATGTTGTTAGCCTGAGGCCAGTACATGGGAAACACCGTAATGTGCAATGATCACTGTGAATTTTAGAGGGGATGAAGAACTAACATGTTCCTGCCATCTTACAGGGAGATCGAGGGAAGGATGGTTTGAAAGGTGAAAGAGGTCCTCCAGGCCCAAAGGTATGTTCTCAGATGCATGGAAAGATCTTTGTGTTGGTGCCATTGGGTTGGGTTGGACAGAAGGGAAGAACACCTATCTCAGATCTCTTCTCATTCCCCAGAATATTGGGTTTTTCAAAGCAGAAGTCATGAGCTGGGCTTGTAAACTTGTGGTCCCGGTGATGCTGTAGTTCTACAACTCCACTTGGTAAATATACAACATTTAGGCAGGAAGATGTTTAGAAACTGGATGGGATATACTACTAGGGCCTTCCTGATGCCCTTCATTCCACCGGAATCTGTCAATGCAGAAATCAGATTTCAGTGAAATGAAGCCCATCAGAGAGGCAGCTCAGCTCCTGGTCTCATCAGAGCTCCTTCCCCTACCAGAGGACATCCAAAGCTGCTACAGCTTATCTGGCATTTCATCCATGTCAGCAGCCCGGGGCCCACATCATGCTGGGCAAGGAGACACAGACAGCCCCAAAGACAACCTGTCCTTGGGACTTGTATATTGGATTCCACACTTAAACCTATCAGAGATATTTGACCCAGACCAAATGTGGTAGTGTGAAGGGCCACCAGGACCACAGCCACCTCTAAATGAGACCACCACCAACCCTGGGAGCAACTTGCCCATCCTCTGCCTTGTTGTCACCTCCACATAATTGCTGTTGTAGTGGCAGCATTGGTGGCAGTGAAGGATCATCCAGATTTCACTGTTTACATATTATGAATGGCTGAGGACCAGTTTTCAGGTCTCTCTCCCTCCTTTCAATAAATAATTGCATAACTCTGGTGGGAAACATGGCTAATTCAGTACAAAACACATTCCCTCAGTCAAGGAGGTGGTGCAAAGCTCCAGTCCAAGAACTTTTTTTGGCAATGCTCTGGTCCATCCCTGCTCTACAGAACACAACCACTAGCTGTGTCTGGTGGGAGAGGAAGGAGTCAATTTATCAGGGTGGGATCTAAATCCTTCTGTGAGCCAACAAACATTTGTTTGGGGTCATGGAGCAGGATAAGCAGCAAAGGTCCAGATTTCTGTGACTTCTGCTCATTCTTGATGCCAATCATAATGAATTGTTCTTGTTTGTTTGAAGGGAGACCCTGGTCCACCAGGAAAAGGAGTGGAAATGAAGGTAAGGAAAATAAAAACTATAGAAGATATTAATGTTGGAAACATCTTTCCTCTGCCTGTGTTCAGTATGTCAGAGGAGACCTTATGAATGCCCCAGGCTTAGCCATTGCCACCTGCAGGACTAGCTCCCCAGGTTGGAGAGGAAAGATATCACTGTGTTCAGTCCTTTGAGAAATGTCATTTTCTTACACCCAATATTTCCCAGAGCATTGGAGTCAGGCTCCTGCTCAGAGGGGGACATTTCTGCTGCTCTTTGAGTCAGAGCTTTGGTTGTATTCTTACACTTTTTTTCTTTCAGGATCTGGAGAGACTTTTTGAAGAAAATGGTATCAAGGTAGGTAATGCTCTGACTTTCTTTCTGATGACTGTAATAACTTTTCCATCTATCCCCTGTGGCCTTCTGGAGATGACATGTGCACCTCCTAGTCCATCACTGGCACTCACAAGAAGTCAGGGTTATTAGATTTCACTTTACAACTTGCCATGTGTATGTAACTTCTTCTTGGACAGCTTTGCTCCTGCTCCATTATAGGGTGAATGGGGGCTTTGAGGCCCATGTGAAATTGAGATCTTAGAAAATACTCACTTAGAGCTTGGTGCTACCAATTGGCTTAGCTTGTATGAAGTGTATTTCAGTTCTGCATCTGCACAGCCAAGAAGAGGAGAGCCACAGGGCCCTGTTGTACATGTTGGTCATATTGTCTATCTTTAGCATAAAGTTGGGGTTTCTCCTTTGCTGATAACCCAAATCACAGTGCACCCACTTCTTAGTGTGTAATACAGCCATGGTGTCATTCCAGTCTCATGGCAGTCAACAAGCTCAGTAATTGTGATAATTGTGACAAGCCCAGCTTTTAGTGTCCCATTAACCCTTATAGATGAGCTCATTGCCCCCAGCTCCTTATTGTAAGAGAGAAGCATGGAGAAGCAAATAAGGGAGATGAGGATCTGGCTTATCTAATCAAGTATAGGGGGATTTATTTAGAATGGAGAGAGCCATTGCATAACTTCCATCAGTCAATTTCTAGATGCCCAAGCCATAAGCACTTACATTTAAATCAACTGCTGGCAGTCAGGGCCAAATGCTCTGTTACCTTCTTGGAAACACATCAGTCATCATTCCAGGTTGGCTATAGCACTGTTGTTTCTTGGTGATGGGAGAGTGACAGTAAACAACTCTGGGCTCTGTTGGTTGCAGCTGGCATTGTTGAAGGACCTCTCCAACGCAATCCTGCAGGAGGGGCTGGATTGGCTGATGCAGCACTTGGGTAGCTCCAAGACCTCCAGGAGAAAGCAGGCACTTCCATACACACCCAAACATGACGTGAGTATTTGGCATCTTCAGGGCATGGACAGACCTACAAGGAAATGAGACAATGAAAGCTTCAGGGTCACCTCAGTCATCCAGCAGTTTACAGTGACTTGCAGGCATGTTAGTCTGGAAGAGTCTAATGGCTCACACCAGGATTTTGGATCTGCCAGTTAAATTGATGAGATTGCAAAACACACAATTTTCAGTGGAAATGAAGGAATTAATCAACCACTGGGGTTTGTTGGATTGGAGTTATGCAAGGAGAGCAAAGCAGCTGAAAACATGAGAAATGACCACGAGGTTGGCTTCAAATCATCATCAAATCATCAAATCGTAGAATAATTTGAGTTGGAAGGGACCCTTACAGGTCAAAAGTAAAGGACACAGAACAACCTGGGTAGGAAAGGTTGGGGTCACAGTGAGATGCATCCTAGAGTCCTGAGAGCATTGGTGACTGGAAAAAAAGGTTATTCTGCACCCATTTTTAAGAAGGGTAGAAAGGACGACTCAGGGAACCACCAACCTGGCAGCATCATCCCTGTGCCGGGGAAGATCATGGAGGAGATCCTCCTGGAAGATGTACTAATGCACTTAGAAGACAGAGGGGTGATACAGGACAACTAGTATGGCTTCACTAAGGGCAGGTCCCTCCTAACCAACCTCGTGGCCTTCTACAATGGCATAACTGCAGCAATGGACAAGGGAAGAGCCACTGATGTCATCTATCTGGACTTCAGTAAAGCATTTGACACAGTCTCCCATAACATCCTTCTCTCCAAACTTGAAAGAGAGTAGAGGTCAGTGGCTCAACGTCCAGATGAAGATCAATGACAGGTGTTGGCCCTCAGTGGTCTGTGCTGGGACTGATGCTATGATTCCAAGATTCTATGGAATGGTGAGCAGGAACTGCTTGTTACTCTCTCCATCTTGGTAGAGGAAGACCAGCAGGTGGGACAGAGACTGCTGGAGTGCCAGAGTAATGGGTAGAAATAAGTCATCAGAATCCATATTTTTGCATTTGTGGTGCCTAGGAGCTCAAGTTTGTTATGGCCATACAAAGCCATGTTGGGTTTTTTTTTTGATGTTACAGGGTTCATTGACAGTTGATACTTCTCATGATGTCCTGACCAGCACTGGGGTGACAGAAGAAGCACAGAGTCTGGCAGTGGACACTCCATTTAGGGTGCTGGTGTCTGAAGGACTCCCTAAGGTGAGAACAAGCAGCAGAGTTCATGAAGTACAGTCATAGATCTGTGCTTTTGTCCATTCCATTTGCTGCAGGAATAACATTAAGAGCTCACACCTCTGATGCATGCCAGAGCTTCCATTCCATGCTCCAGTGATGCATTCTGCTCATCCCTCATCCTCCTTTTCCCTCCACCCAAACACAGCTCTTTCTTGTCCCTGCCATGACTCCATAGCTCTCATTTGCTCAAGTAACTATGCTAATTGCTAGAGATAATCTAATTGCCTACAGCCTTGGCAATTGCAAGTAACAGATAATTTGTTGTTAAGGAAATTAGGAATTTACTAGTGATGTTATGGCTCATCTCCATCCTGGACCCAAGTTCCTGGATGTTGCAGTACACATCCAGGAATAAATATAGAGAGCTGTATCCAGGCTACCTCTCATAGCTGCAAGTCCTGGGTCTTAATTTGCCCATAGTAGACAGTCTTATAAAGGATAGTCTGGAAAACATCACTGGCAGCTGTGGTGAGGCTTTTCTAATTCTCTCTTATGACAGTCAAAAGGTGACTCACCATAAACCCTTGTTAGTCATGGGTAGGAAATGTTGCTTGTAACTGGAGCACAAGAGATGTGGGAGTGTTTGGAGCCAGCTCATGGTGAATTTGTCTTTCTCTGTGGTTGGTTCAATGATGACCTGTTGCTCAGACACTTAGGGTAAGGCAGGCTCATCCTCACTCTGCTCCAGGATCTTACAGTGATCTTGCTTTTCCAGATCACAGCAGCCAGGATGACAACATTTTAGGGCCTTGAGGGGGAAAGAAGTGCTCACCAGTAGGTTTGTTTGCATCAGAGGTCCCAAGAAACCAAAAATGGACAAACACCAGCAAGCCTGGAGCCAGATTTGGGAAGCAAAGACACCAAAGCTATGACAATAAGGAAGTTTTGTTCATCTTAATGATCAGGGTTTTTCATAAATGTTGTCACTATCTCTGCCACTATGAATGGGGGTCTGGGGTATAATAAGATGGCTTGGGCTGTTTGTCCAGGACAGTGTGGGAAAGAGCTGAATGCTTCTTTCTAAGGACCTGGTTTGGGGTTTAAGGTGAGAAGAGACAAAACATTCACCTCTAAGCTCCTGAGCAGCCCCCTAACCCACTGGGGATCTTTGTTGGATGCCACAGTCCAACATAATTTGCATTTCCCAAGTAAAGTGCAACTTGGCAACTTGGCAACTTGGTTCTCCAGGTTTGTCCTGGGCATCTAATGAATGGCAGTGTGGGTAAAGCAGTGTGTGGTGGATTAGGTCTTGACTTAGAAAAGCAGTAATTTTCTTTGGTCTCCACAGGGTCCATCTGCTGATGGTTCTGACTCCGAGCACCAACTCCTGGGGAACACTCCTGAATCATTGGAGTCTGAGGAGAGAAGGAGAGAGGGAGACTCAAAAGTGACAAATATCTCTCTCAGCAGTGTATGTAAATGCCTGTTCAGTGACTTTTAATTACATTCCTACTTGTGCTGATTAAATAGATGCAAAGGGATTACATTTTGAAGAACTTGATTAGACAAACCCTTTGCAATATTGTGGATTCTTCCTCTATTTTACTGCAGTGAAAAGTTAATTTAGTGAAAGGATAAGGATTTCTGCATGAATCAGTTTCAGTGCCTGAAACTTTGCTTTCCATGTTCCACTCTGGTAATCATTAAGACTATGCTGTCATTCATCCATCACCTTCTGCAGAGCTTCTCTGTGCCCTCACCACATCCAGAAGGTGATCTGGAAGGAAACCTGTCCATAGAGCTTCTTGAATCCCTGGAGGAAAGAGTGGAAGGACAACCACAAGAGGACAACAGTCTTGTAGGTATTCCCCAGCAGCACTAGGTCATACTAGGACCATTGTGGAGATCAGTGATAGACTGGAGGAGACTGGGATGTTCATCTTACACCCAATGCTCTGAGCCCTGGAACAGCCCCCAAACACAACCATAGAGAAGACCACTGCTTGGACATGGGGTCTGGGTAGGATGCTGTTGGCCAACCGTGTTCTTCATATATGGTCAGGGAATCCCCTAGAACCCTTGATAAATTTTCTTGGAGGTTAATTACACATTTTGGGGGGAAAAAAATGACAATTTCAACAAGAGGAGATTGGAACTTAACAAATTTTGTGGGTAAACTGAGACAAAGTGACTGTCCCAGAGAAAACATGTTGTACAGTGACACAGCTCTTTTCCAAGATCTGTGAGACATTTGTCCATTAAAAAACTGATGAGATGAATTACTGAGGGACAGTAACAAAGAGAGAGGCTTCTTCCATAGTCTGGAGGTACAGCTGCTCTAGAAGTCCATGTTCACATACCCTCTAAGTTGTGTTATACCATTTGCAGCAAAGTTATAGGGTACATTGAGGCTGATAGCACTTATCAGAGGTGAGCTGATGATCAGTACATTGGTGTTTTGCAAAGACATGGTTGTCTGAGTTCTAGCATCCAAATTCACTCTTTATTTCTGCTCTCCCAGATATGCATTTTCTTCCAAGAGCCCATGTCATGCTCAGCTTCCATCTACCAAACCCAACATCTTTTTGCTTTCGCATCATTGTAATTATGAGAGCAGTGGGTCATGCTGGTAGACCCTACCCCAATACTATGTACTAAGTGATGCGAATCTCAGTGATGAAGAGAGGACAAAGGCAGTCATCTGGTGCTGTTTTTAACACATTCAGGTTGGATACTGGGAAACATTCCTTTTCCAAGAGAGTGGTCAGACATTGGACCAGGCTGCCCAAGGAGGTGGTGGAGTCACCATCCCTGAAGGTGTTCAAGAAACATGGAGATGTGGCATTGAGGGTCATGGTTTAATGGGTATAGTGGGGATGGGTTGGTGGTTGGACTGGATGATCTTAGAGGTCTTTTCCAACCTTAATGATTCTACAATTCTATGATTTCAATATTATGTCTTCCCACGTGAGCCACTGACTGCAGTTCTCTGAGTGCGATCATCCAGCCAATTCCTTATCCAGAGTCCATCCATCACATCCATTCTTCTCCCATTTGATGACCAGGATGCCATGTGGGACCGTATAAAACATTTGAAGACAGGATGCCTACAGCCTGAAAAATCCCTTGAGTGTTTGCTTACAGCTGCAAGCACTGTTTCTCTATGAACAGCATCCAATATTTCTAGGAATAGCAATGTGGGAGGTAGCTTAAAGTGGAGAGGCTCCGTCAAAAGGAAATTATGCTCTGATTTGAATAGTCTGCTGGAAAGTTGCCTCCTCTCCTATTGCAAATTACCTCTGCACAGACTCACAGTAGTTGCAGCAGCCAGGAGAGGGCTCCCAGCACAAACACGCAAACAGGAGTATTCACACGTGTTTGTGTGCAAGCTGCAGCCTGAGCAATGAGCTGCAGCCACAGTGCATGCAGTCAGGAGCACACAGAGCCTGTTTCCAGCAGACAGAGAATCATAAAGTCACAGCATCATTCAGGTTGGAATGATGTCTAAGATCAACAAGTCCAACCATCAACCCATCACCACCACGTCCACTAAACCAGTACTGCATCTACCCTTTCCTTGTACACCTCCCGGGACAGTGACTCTTCCTTTCTAATGGGTGTAGAACCCTGGCTGAGGTAGGAGCTTTGTGGTGCCCCATTCTCTTAAGTAGACAGAACTCAGACCCTATGGATCAGCACCCACAGTCTATGAATTAGACCATCCCAAATCTGAAATTGTGGACTTGAGTTATGCTGGATGCTTCTCACGAGCAACCACATCACAGTTTTATGCATTTGGACTTAATCAATCAGACAGAGCATCTTCCACCTTAATGAAAAGGGAATGAGCCCTATTGGTCTGTTTTAGGGGAACTAAGTGCCTCTGTGTGCACAAACTCTATGGCCATGGCACTGGGAAGGAAGAGATGTTTGGGGCCAAATGTAGTGCTCTCATCAGTAATTAGGGGTGTTAGTAGTTCAATTAATCCCTACATCTGGGATTACATCCCGTACATGAGAAGCAGAGCCACAATCATTTCTTACCAGGGGCTCATTTATCACTTGAGACCTATGGTCTTTATCCAAAAGTTAGGACTTTGGGTTTACCACCTGCCCCATTTATCCCCTCTGTCCTCAGGAAGAGAAAAAACCATGGTCCATAGGCAGGGAGCCAGGAGCAGTCTTTCTCTCCCCACAGCACAGATCCCCACAATGCAAAGAGAACAAAATAAGAGCCGCTTGTTTTCCCGTCAGCAGCAGCTGCAATCACGAATTTTACCTGTTAAAAGGTTCACAGGGCCCCGGAGAGAAGCAGTCTGTAATAGCCCAAGAAGCTTCATCTCAGAGATGCAATTTCTGGCTGGCAGGAGTTAATGGGGGAAGCAAATTAACTGATATAGAGACAGGATGAGCCCTGGTACACATGCCCGTGCAAGAAGAGATGGGTGGTGACTCTTTCCGTGGGTGAACCAATTCTTTGGCATTATGGGATTGGACAGGTCAATCCCCTCCATTTCCCAGCCTCAACTCACTCGTTTTCAGAGTTAATACAGATAAATGCCCCTTGTTTTCTTCATACATATATACCTACAGCTTCTCTTTTTTTTTTTTTTTCTTCCTTTTTTTTCAAATCTGATATCTTCATGCTCTTTGCTGTTTCTCTCTTTCTTTGCAGAACTATTTCTTCCTCCTCATTTTGTTTCTGTTTTTCTCTTTCCAGACCTTATTACATCACCTCTTTTCCCTCTGCTATTCTCTTTTCTCTTTTCTCTTTCCCTCTTTTCCTCCTTCCCTTCCCTTCCCTTCCCTTCCCTTCCCTTCCCTTCCCTTCCCTTCCCTTCCCTTCCCTTCCCTCCCCTCCCCTCCCCTCCCCTCCCCTCCCCGTCCCCGTCCCCTTCCCCTTCCCCTTCCCCTTCTCCTCTCCTCTCCTCTCCTCTCCTCTCCTCCCCTCTTTATCCTTTCATTTTTTTCCTTTCCCTTTTTCCTTCTCATTTTTCCTTTTTCCTGACACTGCCACTCACTATCAGCAAATCACTGCTTCAGAAAGCAGCAGCTTCTCTCCTTTCCCTTGAGGTACCTTATTGCTGGCATCTCAGAGCTGGAAACTGCTAAAATTGCGGAGGAATTGCAGAATGAAGGAGTTATTACCCCCTGCAATTTCCCACCACCCTTGTAAATGTCAGCATTATGAGATCCCATGCAGATGGGTTGCCATAAAATCTCTGCAAGGTCCTGGCAACCCATGGACTTGCCTTGCCTTTTCCTTATGATGCTCTTCACAATGAATACGGACCCATAGCAAAACACCTGCAGCATTTTGTATCTGCTCTGCATGCAGATCAGCTGCAACCCAGTGCAGGATGGCCAAAACCCACCCCAAATGAGCACTCCTGAGCAATGTGTGCCAGCACATCACTGCTGAATCTTTTCTTCCTCTTTCTTGCTCCTCACCATGATTCAGTAAAGACTTTCAGTTTTCTTTGGGCAAAAATATCTTTTTTCATTATGTATTTTAGTGAGTCAGAAACTTCCTGCGTTTATTAGCCAGTAAATGAAACTATCATCCAGTTAGTTAAATCCATCAAAACAGAACTCAACACACGATTCTGGATTAAATTTTGAGGTCAATCCAGGTCTTTGATTCTGAAAATAATAATAATACGAATGTGGAAATAGTGCCAAATAACTGCATCCCATCCCAATACGTTCCTCTTTTACCTATGCTCCTGGCAAGGCTCAGGGCTGAGGTTTTAGTGCATGGAGGTTTCCTGCCTTCTGTTGTTGTGAATCACTCCATTGCTTTTTTGCTTTCATATCAGAATATTTGCCAAAGCTGCTCTGCAGTTCACCACGGTGTGGGTCAGGGAATAACTGCTGTACACTGAGCTAGGAATATGATTGTTTTTAAAACAGCAAGCAGATAAATTACTGCTGCTAGTTTTATGACCAATTTACGATACAAGCCAGTAACTATTTGTACAAGCTTTACAATGTGTGTCTTAAATATGTACCGACCAAAACTATGAGCATTGCAAATGTCAGCAAGATTACTGAGTCGAGTGATCAAACATCAACAGTTGTATTACTGCAATCAGATATATTGGGTGCAGTAAATGCATATCACGTGTGTTACCCAGACATGGATGCTGCAGGGAGGAAAGCAGAGTTCAAAGTTGCAAGATTTTAGGTATTATTCCTCTGAAATAGCCATAAGTTAATTGCACAAGAGATGCTCAGTGGGATATTGGTTGTAAGATGTAGTTGGTGGTAGGTGGACAGTTGACTAGAGGTGTTTTCCAACCTTAGGGATTCTGTGATTCTATGATGCTGCTTTCTTTCCTGTAGGAAAACATGAGTTCAGAAGATGGCTCTGCACTCCCAAGGCATCCTAGAGCCAGGAGATCAACCCAGCATGACAGACACATGGTAAAGCCCCATTATACCCCAATGGCTTTGGGCTAGCAATGTCTAAGAGCAGAGCCATAAGGGAGTGGGGACCATTTCTTGTTGGCTCTATCATAGGTTCACCCTCCTGGTGCCCCAGGAGCTCCAAAATCTCCATCTGGATCCATGGTGAGTGAATACCTGATACAAGGTTGTCTTCAAACACATGGATGCAAAAGAAGCCCAATTTGCTTCTTCTCAATGACGAATGTAGAGGGTGTATGTGAAAGGTTAGTGATAAATATTAATAAATATAGCAAGGAACATCTGCTTAGGAAGCTGAATTTCTTGGCAGAGCAGAGTGTTCTTGCTGTGTTTGGCAAGGGAAACGTGATGCTTACAAAGCAGAAGTGGAGAAAATCAAACTTAATCAATGATGGAACATGATAACCTGATTTGGTTTCTTTCATCCTGAGAGTATAGAAGATACTCGTAGGAGTATATAAACATGTAAATGTGTGTTTATAAACAAATAGATCTAGATCTCTGAGTTTGAATTAATTTAATTTACTTGAAAGCAGTAATTGACCATTGCCCTGTCCTTGACAGTGGGCTATGGTAGCACTGAGCTGAGATTATCTGTGCCATGAGGTGACATGTTGCTTCTCATATTTGATCTAGCTGTAGGTGTCCCTGCTGACTGCAGAGGAGTTGGACTAGATGAGCTTTAAATGTCCCTTCCAACTCAAATGATTCTATGATTCTATAGACGTCTGTAGAGGGTCAGGGTTGTGGTGGGATGTCTGTGCCAAGGCATTTCATGGTTTGTGGACCCTACAGCCCATTTCCAGTGGGTACAACCAGATCTCAGGTATCCTATCCAGGCTGGAGTGGCTCAGAGTGAGCCTGGAGACCACCTCATATCCAACCAGGAGTGTTTCAGTGAGGATCTCATGATCCTTGACCACACATGGATTCCCTGCAAGATGACTCTACCCCTGCTACAATGCACTGATTTGCTGTGTAACATCTCACTGCTTGAAGATACCCTTTCCACGACTCAAGAGGGGAAACATTTCCCCACCTGCTCTCATGCTTTCTTCCTTTCTTCTTCAAGACATACCCAGGTCCTCAGCGCCCAAGGAGAATTAAGGTATAATATTATAATATTCATGCCCAGGGCTCTTTTCACCTCCACTGCACGTGATGAGGATGTGAATAGTCTTTTCTCCCATCATGCAGAATCCAAACTCTGTTTTGTATGATTATTTGTTTTCTTACAGAAGGAGGAAATGGGCCCTCCAGTTCCGCTCTACCATTGCCAAAAGGTCAGTGCTTTTGTTCTACCTTTAATGCAGATACCCAACAAGTGATGGGGTGAGACAGGATGGAGATCGATCTCCCCAAGGCAGTTTCATTTACAGGCTAAAAATCACAAGTAAAAATTGGCCAGGCTGGTGGGTTCAAGAGTTAGTAATCAGTGGTTTGGGCCACTGGGAATGAGCAGAAGACCCTACTTTGAGTCTTTCACATCTGCTCTAGATGTGTTTGTAGTGTTTTTTTGGCTCCTCAGTAATTCTCTCCTCAGTGAACTTCTCCCTTCTCCCTCAAACTCGTGGTATCTGCAGTATTACATTAATATCTGCATTATTTTTGGCCTGAGAGATTCACAGTACCACTCATATCTTACAATTACTCCAGTTTGTTTTCTCTCTGTGCACTTCCACTGTGCAGGATAGGAGGGATGGGTTCAGGGACAGTCCTAATCTGGTTGGACTGTGGTAGAATTTAGGAGTTGGACTCAATGATCCTTATGGCTCCTTTCCAACTCAGGATATTCTATGATTCTATGATTTGGATCTGGTTGAGCCCAACCGGATGATCCATCAGAAATGTGATGGAAAGGAGATGATCCTCCATTACTGCTTCCTGAAATATGATGCAGGAATGAAGGCAGCACATAGCTTGACCAAAAAGAGAAGGAGATGTTCCTTCTACTTGAACTAAAGGGGCTGTCTGTTTTTTTCCAGGGAGAAATGGGAGCTCCAGGAGCCCGTGGAAACAAAGGAGAAAAGGTAGCAGTGGGGCTTTTGTGAGCCTCTGGGACTTGGAGAAGGTTCCCTTCCCTGTGCTAATAGGGTCTGGAAGATAAGAAGCTAGGACATCCTGGTGAAGTGGATGGACATTCAGGGTCTGTGGGAGATTGTGCTGATGTAAACAGGGATAGAGGGAAGGGTCAGACCCAGCCCCAAGTTTCTTATGGCATCTTCTGCAATCAAAGCAGGCATACAGCCACACAAAGTGCCTCTTCACAGCACTTCTTATAAGGGACAAACAGGAGATCTGAGGTGTAGGGACCCAGATATTCAAAAGAAAGGTGGACAACCTTTGTTTCACAGTCTGATGGAAAGAGGGTATTTTGCATGGGTTACCATGAATTTCAATGCCTTTGTGCAGGGACCATGGGCATGAGAAGGGAGGTGGCTGGAAGATGGATCTTTTTGTCTTGCAGGGGCAGCCTGGGGAGATGGGGGAGCCTGGAGAAAAGGTGAGATGTGGAGTCAGGCTCAGCCTCTGGCACAGGACAGTGTCACCAGCTAAGTGGCCCAAATCCAGCACTGGGGGTTGTCATAGAGAAGTGAAATCCCTGGCCCCTATATGAACCCATCACCAGCTGAGCTTAGCCCAGTAGACCCAGAGCCCAGTAACACACCAGGAGCGACATGGTCTTGTGTTAGAGCATTTGGCTCCTCCATTGTCACACAGCTACTTCCAACTTTCTCAGGGGAAAAGAACTGGACATTAGGGGTGTCCCTGAACTTCCAGTTACTCCATCCCGCCACAGTCCATGGGCACAACTGGAAACCTTTTCTCTTACTTCCAGTGAGGTTGTGCTTCACACAGCCACTCCAGCAGGCTTGGTAACTCTCTCTTCATTTCACAGGGCACCAAAGGAGACAGAGGTGAAAGCGGTCAGAAGGTAAAGAACAGCACTGGTACCATAGGTGTCTCTTCTCCCACCATGGCTCTTCTGTCTTCCCAATATCTAACCTCCCATCTCAAGTTGAGGAGTCCAGATAACCTCCTGAGATGTGGGCTCGGCATAGCTGGGATGGGATACTCACAGGGGACCCAGCATTTATCCCTCCTACGTAGGGACTCCTGATGGATCATATAGACAGGGCACACATCATAAAAGGGTAATGTCAGAAGATACAGGATTATCTGGGCAACATGTTCCAGTGCTCCACCATCCACACAGGAAAAGAGTGCTTCCTGACATGGAATCTCTTGTGTCCCAGTTTGTGCTTTTTGATGGTCCCATAGTGTGAAGACTGGTCTTGCTTTTTCCTGACCTTCTTCTCTTCACAGGGAGAACCAGGAATTGGGTTCAGAGGCCCTGTTGGTCAGGCTGGACCCCCAGGATTTAAGGTAAATCTTTCTTCTCCCCTAGATAGGATCTTATTTGTTTTTTTTTGTGGGTGTTACCTTCCACTGTCTATGTTGATCTTCCCACTGCTAGGTGTGAGGCACAGTGGTGATTGAGATGGGAAAGACACTGAAGATGGTAATGGCACTGAAGTTGGTAATGGCACTGAAACTAGACCCAACTTGCAAAGACAGTAACAGGGTTTGGGATGGAGGGAGTGCTCTGTGTCCTCCAAGATCAAGTCAGGTCCAGAGGATAAAAATGTCTGTCCATGGTCTTCTGCATTTACTAAGCCATGGCACAGCCCCTACTCCATCCCTATGAACATCTCTTACTGGAGTACCCCCAGTTCTACATATCAGTTATGTGAATTCAAGGATACACCACTGGGCTTTCTTCAGGACTTCTGGAGGGCTATTAATCTCACCTCACATCTAAATTCCTTCTTATTCATTCAACAGGGTGAGCCAGGGGCTCCAGGACCCCCAGGAGCCCAGGGCATTCAAGGCATTCGTGGCAACACTGGCATTCCTGGCTCACAGGGAGACAGAGGGGCTCCAGGTCTACCTGGGACACCAGGACAGAAGGCAGGTGGTGTGGTGGCACTGTGCATGTTGTGTTGTCCAACCCAAGGAGAAAACAAGTGTGGTCCTCCTGATACTGCCTACACCAGTCCATTGAAGTCCACCTCTCTTCAATAATGCCCCCACACTGGGAGCATTTCAAAGACTACTCCTCCTAGGAGCACCTAGGGACACGCTCCTGCTTTCAGGCTGGCTTGGGAGAAGTGGGACTTTGCCTTTTGGTGTTTTCCTCCTTAAAGGATTTTGTTTTCAAGGGTGAGAGTGGGAAGAGAGGCCGGAATGGACTTGCTGGACCTGCAGGACCATCAGGATCCCCAGGAAAAGAGGTGACTTTTATACATCACCTCCTTTGTCTTTTGAGAGACTGTAGAGACTTGGCTGGGGAGAGAGGCTGAGGCCTTTGTATCTGGGCTGAGTGTGCTTTTATCTTTTCATTGGGATGGGAGAACATCAAAGACTTGCAAAACAAAGTTTGTTGTGGTTTTTTTTTTTCATCCTATAGGGGATTCCTGGGACACCTGGGCCCAAAGGCAGCAAGGTGAGTGTCAGCCTGCCAAGAAGGGCACAAATAGCTTAGATCCTTGGGTAGTAATGGACAGTCCACTGCCATCTCCTGGCTCCTTATCCTTGATCCTATCTAGATGCTTCACCCCCTCTCACCTTCATGCCCTTCTTCCCCGTTTGTTGGGGCATCTTCCAGAGAGAGCTGCAGAAAGTCAATGGAAAGGAGTCCCCTGCTCTTTCTGTAACTTTTAAATCATTTCATAGAATCACAAAATCATAGAATCACTGAGGTTAGAAAAGACCTTAAAGATCTTCAAGTCCAACCACAATGTTGGACATCAGAAAAATCTTCTCTAAGAGAGTGGTCAGGCTCTGGAACAGGCTGCCCAGGGAGGTGGTGGAGTCATTATTGCTGGAGATGTTCAAGATACGTGAGATGTGGTGCTTAAGGACAACGTGGTTTAGAGGGCAGTACTGTGGTAGGTAGACAGTTGCACTAGATGACCTTAGAGATCTTTTCCAACTTTAATGATTCTATGATTCTATGTTCAAACTGAGCAGTAGTCATGGCATATGGTGTCTTTCCTCCAAATTAGATTTCTGTCTTTCTGACCTGCAGGGAGAAACTGGGATTGGAGCTGTTGGTCCAAGAGGTCCCCGAGGATTGCCAGGTTCTCAAGTAGGTTCTCTGTCAATGTTCTTTGCTTGGCTTTTTGCAAGCTACAGTCCTTTGGAGGCAACTTCATACCATCACTGTCTGCTCACCCATCATAGAAGATGCCAAAAGAGCCTGCTTTAATTTTTCATTGGTCAGATTTGGAAGTGATAGGCACTGCTACACCCAGCTGGAATTGGCACTGACCAGATTCTCTCCACAGATTGCAATTAGAATCCCCTCTGCAATTAGACACCCTCAAATACTGCGTGTTGCATTGATCAACATGTCTATGCCCTTGCTGGCTAGATGGAAGCTTCAGTGGTAACATCTACATTCATACATCTGCACGTCTCAGTGAGGAAGGACCTCATTTTGTATGCTTGAGGGATGCTACCTGCAAACTCATTCCATCATCCACCTCCAGCTTTCTTACTCTTGTTCCCCCCTTCCCTCCTGACCCTCTGTCATCTCTGGGGAAGCAATGCTCATTTTTCCTCAGGCTGCTGAGAAGTTTTGGTCCTCTTCTGGCAAAGACTCCAGGGAGACCCTCTTGAGTCATAATCAAGGGCCATGTTTCAATTTGCTCCATCTGTGGCTGTTCCATGAATAAACTGATTTTATGGTGCAATCCATTTAGACAAATTCCCCATCTGCCAGCAGAATGATTCGATGAGGCCCCTGAGACAAAACAGTTAATGAGAATGTCAACAGCTGTGAAAGGTCTGGGGTAAACCTCACTCAAGCTTTATTATCTGAATGGAATGATGAAATAATGTTTCTGCTCTTCTGACTCCAGCATAAATCTGGAGAGAATTACAGAATCACAGACTATACTGACTAGATAGGAGAGATTTGGCCTGGTGGGATGATGCCCAAGTCTAGGCATCTCAAAGACAAGTATCTCTTTTGGGTTCTACTCAGTGAAGTCACTGAAGCACTTCACAGATCCACCAGGTATCCCTTGTAGTAAGGTTTAAAAAGAGTCAGTAGCACACTTGAAGAAAGTTCTCTGACATCTGGGAGCAAGAGCTGAGTATGAAGATAAGCCCCACGTTGGTCTCCAAAGTTATGAGTTGAGCAGTTGAGTGGTGGTATCTTCCTTCTGAAAGCCAGCTATGTGGGTTCCAGATGAATTTCTGATTACCTTTTTGTTGAGGTGAGTCCTACTGAAATCAAGTTATGAATGAACATAAAAAGCAACTGAGCTCTGTGATTGAGGGTGAGAATTCTCCTGGGAACATTTCAGACCTCTGCCCTTTGCTGTCCATGCTTTTGTCATGTGTAAATACAGCTTGAGAAAGGACAGACTAGGTCACCCAACCTTAGGTTGCTTCTCCCCAGCCATTCCAACCAGTGCCTCCCTATAGAAACAGAGAAGAGGCACCTTTTTAGAGTGATTAATATCATGCTGAATCAGGTTCAGATCATCCTACAGATGTGTTTCTCTTGAAAGCTGAGGAGAAGCTGAAGCTTGAAGCTGACCAGAGTATTTTCTAAATACAGAGTACATTGTCCAACTTCAGTGGCATGTGTGGTATGGAGCCATTTAAGTCCTTTAATCCAGAACCATAGGACACCTAATGCATGTAGACATATAAGTGAACAAGGCTGCAAAACTCCCTTTACAGATCTAGGCTTCTGCATTCTCAACTCCTATTGTCCCCCATGGGTGGATTGTGGATCTGGGACTGTGCACATTGCATGTGTCTGTTGATGGCCATCACTACACCTCTCTTTCCTAACAGGGTGATGAGGGCATCATGGGAGTCCAGGGCCCCATTGGTATGATGGTGAGTATAAATGTAGCACTGAATTGATTTCACAGTATGGACAATTTCAGGGCGGCTTGATGTTTATAGTATGGACAGCTTCATGGCTGGAAAAAATCCCCATGAGCAATTAAAAAAAAATTAGTTTGATGCTTCCAGTGGGAAATAGAAACTTGGGGAACCCAAATTCTTATGTTGTGTTGGAATGGTTGACTGTAAAACTTTTAGCCACATGTGAGACATAAGCTGTCATGCCAAGCATAAGTGCTTTATCCTCTTGGCCACTTGACCATGTGCCATCCCAGTCTATCCTGTCCCTGCTCACTTCTGTGATGAGGGACGACTGGAGATCCTGTCATCTCCACCTAGAGGGGCCTATGGGAGACCTGAGAGATTGTGGCTGTGTCTTGTTGATGTTAAGCATACAAAAGTCTCCACACGAAGGCTTGCAAAATAGGGCAAGTTGGCCAATCTTGCTTCTGCACCCCTTCCAGCAGCAGCTTCTCTATGCTGAAACCTCTTCTTGGAGGCAGCTCTGTCTTAGAGTGGAGACTGCTCTTTCTTTCCTAATATCTTCCCTCACTTGCATTTATCATATTATTTTGTGTTCTTGCAGGGTCTAAAAGGTCTCCCAGGTGTGAAAGGCGAAAGAGTAAGCAAAAGTCACTGTCACCTTTTCCTATGCAGCTCCTGAAGAGGAGGGCACCATTGTTGGGAATATTTCTGGGACAGATTGGGAGGGGACTTTAATCAATGTATGGAAGTCTGAAGCAACAAACAGTCCCCTGTAAGGTCTGGGTTGGGATCAGGGTGCGTGTTATCTTTCTGCAAGCCTCTTTTTATAATATTTTTTAGGATGGTGGGAAGGGAGGAAATTTGGGAGTTTGGACAGAAAGGAATTCCTGTCGTATTCCATTTTATCCCTCAGTGTGAAGGGGGTGGGCTGAGGAGCAGTTCACCTGCAGCATATGCAGGATAAAGACTACTTTCCAGACAACACATACCCATTCATTTTACATCCTTCTGCCATTTCCCTCTTGCAAGCCTTGGAAAGTTGAAAAGTGCAGCAATGGGAAGAGTAAATCTTGTCCAAATATAGGGATGTGCAATCAGACACTGGAATGAAGGCAACCACGTATAGTGCTGCTACTCAAATGCAACTCAGTGCAGTTTTACAGTCTCTCTTTGCTGGACCCACCTGGTCCTTCTAGTCTCTTCCATCTGCTGTCAGTTTGCCAGTCACGAGCACTGGAGAAGGGTATGAGATGCCATCAGTACCAAATCCTGCCCTTTAGCTTCATATCCCACCTCCTACATAAAACCTTGTGGAACAGTTAGTATTTTATACGCTTTTAGTGCAAAATCCAAGCTTTGAGATTGAAATATGGGAAATCCTATAAAATACAGGACGCCTTTCCACCCTAGGTGTAGTACTGACATGTTACCAGAGCTGCCATGCCCCATTGGAAGGTAGAAATCCAATGATAGCTCTGCACTGTGGACATCATAAGCATGAAGTCAACCAAAACACGTCAGTCCCAGGTCTTTATTTTTGGTCAGCACAATATATTTTAGTTGTGCACAGTCTCCCATGGTAAGCTTTGTCAGAATTCCCAGGGGAGCTGACTCCCAGCTGTGATAGATGGGCTTGGTGTGCAAATCAGTGGACTGAATAGCACAGAAAGAGTGAGTAAAAAGGGAATCATTCACTGTCTTTATTTCTTGCTTGCTTTCAGGGTGATCGGGGACTTCTAGGACCCAAGGGAGAAAGAGTAAGAATGTTCCAGATTGTGACCTTTTGGGGCAGATGGGGTAAAATGCTGTTAGGGCTTTATCGTTACCTGTGAGCAGATGGACAGCTATTTGAACAGTTCAGTGATCAGACAAAGTAGAGACACAAATGATAAGAAAAAGTAGAGACATAAATGATAAGAAATACTGGTATGTGTTTTCCTTCTGTCTAATGGGTGTTACCCTATTTACAGCTGGTCCCTTCACTATGTACATCCAAGAGTTTGGGACCATTCTCTCTACATTATACACCCACAGTAGAATGCAGTAGAATGGAAGAGTTAGATGCTTCCTTCCTTCATGGGATTTTCCAGTGGGTTCAATCCACTTTGTGGGCTTCTTGCTTGCGCTCTATGCAATGCTCAGAGTGGAGCTTGCACCATAGTTTTAATGGAATCCTACAACAGCCATTGTCGATAGGAGCAAAAAAGAAATCATTTCAGCAGCTGTTTTTTGGGCACAAAAATGCTTCCTCTGATGTAAGGGAAGAAAGAAAAGTTCCACTGACTTTTGTTAACCAGCTCACCCCAAAGCATACCCCAGTCTGGCTCATGGCAGGTAATGCAAAATAACCCTGAGTGCAGAAAGCGAACAGAAAATGCTGAATTTCTGTCTAGTGGTTTGTTAACTTCCTCCCTTACTGAGGTGGCTTGTAAGAAAATGAGTTTTCGAAAACCTACATGATGATTTCGCCTTTGAGTCATGCGGCAGTAAATGATCAGGGCCAATTTGTCTCTGAGGAGGCTGCTTTCAAAAGGGACTTGCTCCAGAGACAAATCAACTCCTAATCTGCTTCGTGAGGAGGCCCCAAAACACTTCCCGAGTCGAAGGAATGTGTAATGCATTTTCCAAAGAATACCTTAATAAAATATAAAGAGGCGTATGAGATAGAACTGAGAGAGAGGGATGATTGGCTTGGATTCATTCCCCATGGTTACAGTTTTGATTTACTTTATAACTCTCTCTCCATCAATACAAGTGGAACTGTGTGCTTTTCAGGGATTAAACTACAGAATCTTTATGCTCGCTTTTGTCTGCAAAATTGATCGAGCCCCATCCCATCTCCATTACAGACACTCAAAAGCAGAAAAGCAGGAGGTATATGAAGATAGACTTGGAGCAGGATCTGATAGTGATCATTGTATGAGTTGCAAAAGATGGTCAAATTCTGGGGAATGTTGATTCGTGGATGTTTGTTAAGAGTCCAGCAGCAAAGCACAGTCTCCCCAAAAAGGGATGGATATTTGCAGTGTTGAAGAGAGCTGGTATAAAGGGAGACTGTTTCAAATAGGCTACGATTGCTAAAAGGGGCTAGCAAGGAGAATTACCAGCCTGTAAGGGGTTAATTTACCTTCCAAGGGGAAAAAAATGAATAAATCAGTGCTGTACGCTGCTAGTAACAATAGTGAAATACTAACTGCAGGCTGCACTCAGCATCCAAATCAGATGTAAAAATCTTCCAAAGGGGAAAGGTGCTCCTTTCTGTGTCTGTAACAGGAGATCACCTTCCATACTGGGTCTGTCCTGCCTCCAAAACCAATGCTTTGCTGCATCTGCACCTGTCCTTCTTATTGCTTTGTAGAGTTTCAGGGTGCCCCAAGGATGCTAGTGGCACTCTCTGGAATCCTTTTGGGGAAGCATATTAGAAGCATGTACTTGTCAGCTGGTCACAGTGCCCTGGCTTGCAGAATCAATGTTTCTGATGTAAAAAAAAAGCTAGCTCTGATGGGTGCCATAAGTACTACTTGCCAACCTCAGCTCCAACTGCATGACTATAAATCAGGGCACCATGAGCCTACAACCAGGTCCTGCACATGGGAGGAGATGCAAAACGTGACATCCCAAGTGACACATGGCGACAAAGGAGCCAAGCCACCATGTCAGATATGGACCTGTCCAATCATTGATGGCTTCAGATTGGGAATTGAACCTCAGGGTTCCACTTTCCCATGCACAGCTCCACTTCTAGTTGGGACATCTAGACTGTGGCTATGCCATTGGACCCCAACATTTTCCTGAGCAAGAGATCACTGTCAAAATTCAGAACTTGTCATCTTCTATGCATATTCATCACCTAGCTTTTAGTTGGGAATAAATTAAACGTACTTATTACTGCCCACCATACCTTCCATATGGACCACAGTTTGGAAAATGCTCGCCTTCATTGCAGATGTTTGTTACCCTTTTGCTGTTTTTCCCATCATAGTAAGTCTGGTCCTATCCAATGGGAGCCATGAATTCAGGTACCAGTTGTTATCTGCATCTCTTCTGTGTCTCCTTTCTCTAGGGTGAGACCATGACTGGTTTTGGACCCCAAGGCTACAAAGGCAGTAAAGGAGATCCTGTAAGTTGATGACCCTTATAAGTCCTTTCCAATTAGGGTTATTCTATAAGTTTTACTATTGTTGTGATTCAGCACAGGGAACAGCTTGGGTATCCATTGCAAACCAGTGCTTTGGTCCAAAGCCACTGACTGAGAGATGGGTCCTTCCTTGAGTGAGGCACAACCCCACTAATTTCTGTCCTATCATTCAGGGTGAACAAGGCCTGCCAGGTTTTGATGGAGACAAAGGCGAGAAGGGAGAGGATGGGCCTGCAGGAGAAAAGGTATGAACCTCCCAATGTGACAGAGACATATAACACTGGAAGAGTCCCATTTCTCTCCAAGAGCTGGACATGCTGCCTGAAACCCTGAAGCTCAGAAAAAAAGTGGTAATGCATTGGCACAGGCTGCCCAGGGAGGTGGTGGAGTCACTGTCCCTGGAGATGTTCAAGAAATGTGGAGATGTGACACTGAGGGATATGGTGGGGATGGGCTGGGGTTGGACTTGAGCCTTGGCACCTGTGGAGGTGTTAGGTCTCAACCCATAACTCCACTGGAAGGAATCACATATCTCTCCCACTCTCAGGCTGAGTCATGAATTAAATCTCCATGCACCAGTCATCCCTATTTTTGTATCATGTTAATGGGTTTTGTTCTAAAAGTCTGACACAGTGCAGAACAAATATAAGTATCTACAACATCAGCATCCCTGATTAGATCCCCAGTGACTGTAAAAGCAACGTGCAGAAGGTCCCATGGGTGATACTTGTGTTTTTGTCAGATGAAGTCTCACACACAGTATCTGTCAGACTGCCCTCTTATTAAATAATAATATTAATAATAATATGTAAGTGTCTCCTAATGAAACAGCACCTGAATATCTGAGTGTCTTTAGGTGGAGCACCACTACTCCACCACTAGACATTCAACCAGGGTTTTGTACTTCAGCGTTAGCAAAGAGGCAACTTCTTTAAAATATCTGAGACCCTTCTCTGCTTATTTTCCTTCAGTTCCCATCAGTGGGCACTAATTCCCTTTCAGGACTGAGCTATGAGGTTTCTGCAGCTGGTGGCTTCCTTCCCTGGCACTGGCTGCCATAAAGATCTTTGGAATCCTTGGAGGTGAAGCTTGCTATAGAAATGATTCTTACTGCCCTTCACTCTTCCATCTTCATAGGATTTTTTCTCAGGAGGGGCTGCTTCAGGAGCACAATGTACTTAGAATGTATTTGACAGGTATTCTATAATTTTAGGGAATCAGAGGTGAAGCTGGCTCCAAGGGAGCCATGGGGCTTTTTGGAACAAGAGGACCAGTGGGGCAGAAAGTGAGTACACCCAACACCTATTTTAAGGTATCCTCTTTAAGGATTAAACTTTAAAATCACACATGAACTGATATATAAAAATCCTTCGACAGGATTTTATATACATTTTTTTTCACCATATGATTCTTTGCCTGAAGAAGGTGTGGGTGTTGCATCCTTGGAGGCATTCAAGGCCAGGTTGGATGGAGCTCTGGGCTTCCTGATCTGGTTTGGGGCAGCCAGCCCACAAGTTGGAGCTGCATGATCTCTTCCAAGCTAAACCATTCTATGATTCTATGATTGATTGTATGATTCCTTCTTTGAAAGCACTGATTTAAATGTTGTGGAGCTACCAAAAAGTAGAAATAACCAGGAGAGCCCAAGAGATTCTTCCCTTTTCCTAAAGCAGCACAGTGCTCTGACATCTTCCCTGTGCTAAGATAGTAATGATTTGCTGAAATGTCAGCATTTACATGCAAGGTATGAATTCCTGTCTAAATTATACTCAATGGAGACACAGGGCTCCCTTCAGTTGCCCATCTGAGATATTTAAGGAATCCTGTCTGCCCCTTCCATCTCCTGTAGATATGTCCTCTGACAATCCCCAATTCCAGAGGAAGTGCAGCAGCACTTTCCCACTGTTACTCATCATCACTTTCCTTTCAGGGGGAGCCAGGAGAACCAGGCCTGCTGGGCTCTGCCGTGAGTTGGAGCATGTTTCTCTGTCTTTGGGCACATAGTTGGGCTGGCATTTCCACCTATGGCCACATGAATGGGTCATGGGGGAGGTGAGGTGATGTTGGCTCAGTGCTTTTCCACAAAGCCCACGTTCAGAGAGGTTTTGCTGGAAAATCAGCCTTGGGCAAGAGGGACCAAAGCCAAAGGTAAGTTGTAATAGGATGTTGTGTTTTGCATCACAAACACGCAATATGAATGCACATGAAATATGCATCTACTTATTATTTTTAATGCCTTTAGCATTTCCAGACATGAACAGATGACGTTGCTCAGCTGATTACTGGTGATGGTTGTGTAGTATTTGTGAGCTCGTGATCCAAACTGGTAATTGCTTACTGAGAAAAATGCCCTCATTCAATTAAGCATTTCAACCTCTGCTTGACTGCAAGCAGCTGATGAGCACTTTACCAGAGCAATGAGGATGACATAAGACATCAGTATGCTGCACCCCTCATTACTGGGGGTTGGAACTGGGTGATCTTTGAGGTCCCTTCCAAACCAAGCCACTCTATGCTTCTCTGATCACCACACATAGAGTACATTTTGGAAACTGCTTCACTATGAGCACCTGAGTCCATGGGTGACAAATGTTAGCATTAAAATTTGGTAGTGCAGGGAGTGAATAAAGATGTTTGTAGAGCATCAAAGGAAGCACAATTGAATTCCAGTGGGAATCCACCATCCTGACCAGCAGCAGTCCGCTTGTGGTTGGGAAATGTGCAGTTTTCTACCAGCACCCATAAGGATCAATTCATGACATAACTAATGGCCAGAAATTGGCATCTTGTTGATCATTATCCAAGGAGAGCTAAGTAATCATTCTTTGGAAAATATTTGGTGATTTTGCTGGTGCGGGGAACGCTATCCCTGCTATGCTTGGAGCTGGACTAAGAACACTATGCTTGGTTTTGTTTTTTCATTAAATTTCTAAAATTGCAACTCTCACATCAAAGCCAGGGCTGTGACAGAGGAACCATGATATACGACAGCCTGGATGAAATTCATCTGACCTCAGGTTAGATGTCTGCCGTGTTCGCTTTCCGCATCCAAGCACGCTGGACTGAGACTATTTAATAGAGAGCTTTAGGGTACTCTCAGACCATGACTCATATCATCTATTTCAGACACCCGTGGTAGGACATGACATCCTGGTTTGACTTCCTTTCCACAAAACCAGGTTGACAGTGTCTCACTTTGTCTTCAAAGTGTTCACAGATCCTTTGATTGCTTTCTCCCATGTTAAGGGAGAGGGGGGTTTAAGCTATTTCATCTATCATTGCTCTAGTCTTCTTTTTCCCTTTTCTTCAAGGCAGATATGACTTGTTCCATTCTGCCTGTACCCAATGTCTGTTATGCAAAGCCTCAATGATAATATCTCACTGTCTTCATTTTCCTTCAGCCCCCTCTAATTCCATCCATCGTATCTACAAATTACCACCACTGCAAAAACTCTCCACTTGCTTTCCATCCTACTGAATTCCCTCCTGGCTGATATCTGGGGAGACAAAAGTTCCAGCACGACCAAAAATCACTCCTGTAAACCAGCTTGTAATAAGTCTCATCCAATTACCTTTTTGATTTGGTGGTCTATAGGACTTCCCAACCAAGTGACAACGTTTGTATCCCCTCCCTATAATCATTGCCCAGAGAATTTCAGTGGATTTAGATGACTTTACAACTGGATTTCAAGACAAATGAGTGCATTCTTGGTATTCAAGACACTTCCCTCTTTTCTAAAAGCACTACACACTTACATTTATATTCCTGCCCTGCTTCACCCTTTGATATTAATATTCTAGTCTGTGTTACGCCTATTAAAGTGCAATCTTGATCATGTATTAAGGCTTCCAACTCCTCTTCTATATACCTCGTCTTTCATGCCTTAAAATTCTGGCAGATTAACCCATTATTCTCCCTAAAGCTGTATTATGAATACTCTTCTCCCCATCTCTTGCTATTACTATTTTGTGTTTGCGGAGTCTACAGTTATGAGTGTTCTTAGGACCTCTCCATCCTGGCTTGCAGTCCTCCTCACTAGCTTTACAAATAGAGTCTCAGAGATGTTTTTCATGTCCTTTTGAGAACTGGGCCCTATAGCTGCCCAGCAGTCCTTGGATCCTTGCCCTATATCTGAGGAAGCCAAAAGGCTGTTGACGCAGGCTCTTCCCTGGCTCCAGCCCAAATCTTTGCAGGAATTTGTGCAGAGAACCACTTCATTACATTACAACCAAGGCCCTCTAACTCAAGACTACGTTAGGTTTGATAATACCCAACATTTGAATTTGACTTTATCAGACAACGTAAAAGCACTAGAGCTCTTGAAGCAGATTGAGCTATTGAAGAGCTATTCAGGGAACCAACATGAGAGCCCTACCTCCCTCCACCAGCTGCATGAACCTACTTGAAAGCCTAATAGGTAAGCCCATTTGGAAACCCAATTCTCCTGCCTGCTGACCAGTGGGTGAATTCAAGACAGAGGTGAAGAAAGCTGAGGTGTCATGTCCATCCTGGGCTTGACGAGAGGTGCCTCTGACTTCCCAATTAGAGTGGGAAAAGCCATTATCTGAGATGATTTTGGCCAAAGAGGGTGCCATGAGCATTTCTGGAAAATTCAAGGTAATCAGGAACTTGGTCAGCCAGACCTTCTAGACAGGTGGAAATCTTTGCCCAAATAAATTGAGGTCTAGACAGAAGACACAACAGGGAAGGGATAAAAAACACAGTTGGAACTCTCACGTTGAGACACTCAGTTACTTCAGGTGTATCACCCCATCAAATATTGAGCACTGAAGCCCAAGAAGTGGGAAACATTTTAGCAAAGGTAACAGCCTATGCCATGAGTTTCCAAACTTTTGTCTTGCTTGGGCCCCGTGCGCATAAATTGCTCCAAAAGTAATGCCTCCTAATTATTTCCATGGAGACTACAACAGGTACAGAGGGCAGAATAACAGTTTGATAGAGCAAATTCTCAGCTATGAACCACTATTTTTCAACATAGTCACCACCAGCAGCTATGATTTTTCACCAGTGATAGACAAGAGCTCGCGTGTTGTGCTCATAAAAATGTGTACCAGCAGAGGTGACCCATTACCACCGCTGTTTAAATGCACCACCCACTGCCTCACTGTGCAGCATCTACTGTTTGGTTTCCATAAACATTTAGCAAGTGTCAGTGAATACCAGTGGGTTCAATTTTTTCCACATGGATGAATTCAGTGATACACCTTTTGTTCATACACACTTCCACGTCAGGTGACGTTCTGTCGTGACTGTGCCCTTCTGCTGCCATCTGTCACACACAGCAACAAAAATGTGAGAGGATACTGGTGGGAAGGTTCAAATTCTACTACCATATCACCAACATCCGCCTCTGACATTATGGACCAACATAATAAAGCAGGAGGCGTTACTTTCGGAGCAACCCTAGTTAAATTATATGTTATCATTAGAGTATAAGTAACAAAACATTTTAATTTTTAATATTTTTGTTAAAGTGTTAAAAAAAAAAAGAGAGAGAGAGAGAGGAACAAAAGCATACAAGTGGTGGAATATTTGACCATGATTTTGTGAAGCTGATGCATCAGTCTGGTTGAGTGGAAGTGGCTGAGATTCATAGAAATCCCTCAAGGTGTTCATCAGGGATTTTTTGATGAAATTTTACTTTTCCTGCACTTCATCCTTGACGATTGTTCACGAATGCCATTGCTTTTTGGCAGTGTGCACATGAATAAGGTGTGATCGTGAAGCGAGGGATGTTTTCCTCTGGTAAGAGAGGGATAATGAAAGGGGTAAAGAGACACGATCAGGTTTTTTTAGTTGCATATCTGATTGCAACTCTATGTGTTCCAAGACTTGCAGGTCTTGTATTGATATGAACTGAAAATGGTGTCATAAGAGTAATTTTTTATTATTATTATTATTATTTTTTTCAATCTTGAAACCTGTTTTCAAACTCCTTTATCAAAATGGAAAGAACAGCTGCATATTCTTCACTGAGTTTAGCCAATGCAGCAAAATGCATACAATTATTTGCCATCACTTGAGTCTGCACTGTGCAGCACTGCCCTCCCTGTGCCTGGATTGAACGTGGCTGACCTACATCCTGGTTTGGAAATGCATTAGTCCTTTGATATGTCTTTCCTGCTGCTTTAGATTTATTTTTTCGGATTGCAGTGCATTCCTGCAGATGGATTTGATGCTTTCCAAGGGTGACCCAGCTAATTTCCCAGCTCATCTGAATGGAGACGTTGAGCCTGGTGATCACACACGCTCCTCCCTGGCTCCAACCCAAATCTTTGCAGGAATTTGTGCAGAGAAGCTCAGTTCAAAGTCATCTTTGCGTCAGGACTTATGACTAAGCTTCTCCATTGCCGTGCCTTCGTGCAACCTGGTGTCTTTACAGTTAAATGAAGCCTGTTCCAGCAACACTTTAATAACAGAACCAAACAGCAAGAGCCATTTCCAGTAGTCCACCAGTAATTGCCTTTAAACTGCCATTTTACTAGCTTTTATTGCCCAGCCTTTATTTGCCCTGGCAAAACACAGAATGTAAATCTCAGGGAACAAATTTCCATTCAGCTTGTTTCCCTTGCTCAGTGCATGAACATTTTCCTCTCATTCTCATTTTTAAATCCTCTTCCTTCTTGACTCTTTTCAGGCGAGGAGGCTCAGGTTGGTTATAAGGGGCAATTTCTTCTCTGAAAGAATGATAATGCCTTGGAACGGGATGGCTGAGAAGGTGGGGGAGTCACCATCCCTGGAGGTGTTCAAGATATGAGGATATTTGGCACTGAGGGACATGGCTTATTGGGCATGGTGGGAATGGGTTGATGGTTGGATCTGATTATCTTAGAGGTCTTTTCCAACCTTGATGATTCTATGATTTTCTGAGTAGGCACAACTAAGACCGTTTACCCTTCTACTTAACAGCACGTACTCTGAGCTTTAATCTTCCTAAAGCCATTTGGGTTCCCTTCAGGCTGAAGGCAAGAAGCACCTTGCAGTCTAAGGCTCACAGGAGAGCTATGAGTTGGAGACAAGAAGGTGGGGGATGCACAAGAAAAGACAGAAAGATCTCACTTTAACACAGAAACCCCTATGGATGAATAAATTCAGGTGCTGAGAGGGCTATTAGAGCTAATTGGGAAGTTGCTAACTAGTGTCAAGTTCCTTCAGGATCAGGCAGTATTCAAGAATAAACCTTAGCCCATCCCCTTGGGTACAGGTGTATATATATAAATCCCTAGCCAGATGGATCTGTACCTACTTCAGAGCAATCTGAAAAATGCCAGGCAATTGAAGGTATCCTGGGCTCTTGAGATTTAACCATTGAACCAAAAGGTTTATTACCCTCCAAACGTGCAATCTGTCCTAGCAAACAGGAATTCTAATTAGCTGTGCTTTTTATAGTCCATTTACTTCCTCAGCAAGAGCTTCATATTGATTGTTTCAATAAATAGTTACCAATAAATAAACAGCATGCATGAGATATTCAGGCCTGATCATGCAAGCAGGGCTTGAGGAGCATGGACTTTACCCAATCCAGACGTGATCAACAGAGTCATGGAGGAGCACGTTGTGTGTCCTCAAATACTGCCTTTACTCCAAAATATAAATAAATATTTGATGAAGTATTGTATGTCCCAGGCTGAGCTAAGCTGCAGAATGGCTCACAGACCTCCAGATTGCAATGCTGTGGTGTTTTCATGGAGGAGTGACTCTGTCCTGTATTGCCTACGTGTTTGGACTGGATGAGAATCTCTTTTATCCCCAGATGGGAGATGTTCTCTGCACTGAAACAGTGAACAACCCCATGCAAGTAGAATGGTTGTTCACAAACTGAATTTCACCACCTAGCATGTCTTCCCTTATCCAAATGGGACTTGCATGTCTTAAACTGAGCTGCTGACCTAATGCCCAGGATTGTGGGCAACCCAACAAAGCAACTCACACAGTGCCTGCTTAGTGTTTCTGCTCCTATTTCCAACTGCAATCATCACCATCCCAATTTTCTTCCCCAGAACTAATCTTTAACTTCTGTGTGCCTCAGTTTCCCAACCTGTGATTGTAAAAAAAGCCAGCTTCTGGGTTGCACTCGCTAGTGGTTGTCAATGGTTGTTAACCCAAGCCTCATCTAGTGCTAGTATTAGGATGGCTTTTGATCTCCAACTGTTGAAACGTTCTACTCAGGCTCTTACTATTGAATTTCCACCCTGATGACTGTACTCTGTGGTCTCCTTGCAAAAGCTATAGAGAAATTCATTGTGCTCCTCTTTGGCAGGGTACAGCAGGCCTTGATGGGAAGAATGGAATCAAGGGAGCCAAAGGTGACAGAGGTCTTCAGGGACAGAAGGGGAAGCCAGTGAGTAGCAAGAAAGGACATGGTTAGTTTGGAAGGCAGAAAGAGGTTCCTGGTCTTTCTCAAACCTGAGCTCATTTCTCTTCCCACATCCCGTGTTTCCCATTACTAGAATTAGAAATAAGAGTTGAGGGCGACTCTTTCCAAAAGAGAGATGAAATTTCTGCCTGAACTTCCTAGAGAGGGCTCTAATGCACATCCTGGCCCAGTTCTTAGGAGACTTCTGTAGATGCCAGTAGAGAATTTATGTGTGTATCTCTAGTGGTGGAGTTCAACTTCTCCCATGTAATTCACCATGAGTTTTCCTTTGTTACTGAAAAGAAGTCTCCAGGGAGAACTTCTTCCAGTCTTTCAATATGTAACAGGGGGTTATAAGAAAGACAGGGGAAGACTTTTTGCTTGGGCCTATGATGACAGGACAAGGGGGAAAAGTTTTAAACAGAAAAAAAAGTATAGATTTAAATTGGATATGAGGAAGAAATTTTCAATAATGAGAGTGGAGAGACCCTGGAATATGTTGACCAGAAAAGCCGTGGATTTCCCATCACTGGAAGTCACATTGGACAGGGTTTTAAGCAACCTGATCTAGTGAAAGTTGTTCCTGCTTATGGCAGGAATGTTGAAGAAGATGATCTTTAAAGATCCCTTCCAACCCAAACCATCCAGTGATTCTATGAATCTATGATCTGCAAGTTTTTCAGGAGTCCCCAGTGGTTAAAAGAACAATATAAATGGGAAGTGATGCTATCACCAGGGTAGCATTCTTAATCTGTCAGGATGTGTATTATATGTTTACTTTATTTTATTTTATTTTATTTTATTTTATTTTATTTTATTTTATTTTATTTTATTTTATTTTTAGGGAGAAAAAGGTGATCCTGGGATCACTGGGGACATCGGGCGGAAAGGAACAAAGGTAGGGGCTGGGTGAGATCCTATGAAATCTCAGTATTCAAAAAGCTGTCTGGATGTTGTCCTGGACAGCCATCACTTTATGGCCTTGTTTGAGCAGAATGGTTGGATAAAATCAGAGAATCACAGAATCGTAGGGGTTGGAAGGGACCTCCAGAGATCATCGAGTCCAACCCCCCTGCCAAAGCAGGATCCCTACACCAGGTAAAATGACCTCCAGAGGTCCCTTCCAACCTCAACCACTTTGTCATCCCGTGAATCAAAGTTTGGGACAGGCAGAGAGGAGAACTCAGACTCCAGGCTGGATGGTGTTCATGGGGAAGGGTTCTGTGGGTCAGGGATATTCTTGCATTAGGGCTGACCATGTGCACAGTTTTCATCCTACTTGCCTTCACCTTGATACGTCATCAGTGACTTCCCATGATTTGCTTTCTCCCCAGGGCTTACGTGGGCTGCCAGGACGCATTGGTGCTCCAGGAGCCAAGGGCATCAAGGTGAGCTCAGCCCAGCTCTATCTCCTACTCAGGTAGCCCCATTTCCAGCAGTGATTCCTATTTCTTACTCATTACGAGGGTAACACTGTGCTTGAAGAAACCATGCTAGCTCATGCAGAAGACCCTCTCCACAGTGGTGATGGACTGATGGCTGGACCAGATGATCTTAGTGGTCTTTTCCAACCTTAATGATTCTATGATTCTATGGCTTGAAGCTGCAGGCTGCAGCCTGTGGTCACAGTTTGGGGATTGACACATATTTTTTTTTTACAATCTGAACTCCTTTCGAAATATCTTTCTGGTCTGTGGCTTAGCAACTGCCTGGACTTAATTTGCAATTACTGCCAGGCACATTGCTCTGATTGCCAGCACCAACGGTCCTTTCTCTATAAACAGGGATAATGGCCCTTAATGGTCTTTTTATGAAGGGTTTTGAAGAGCTCAGTAAGATGTAAGGGAACACTTGACAACTGAACCAAAGGGATATATTTTTGTTATTAATATTTTCCTTCATCTGCCTTGGCCTATTGGGTAAATTAAGTACTGTTCAGTGAACTTCCCAGCTACTTTCATGTAAGTGGTTATGAAGTCAGGGCAGTCTAAAGTCTGTATCAATCTGAAGTAGGAATTTTCCTGTATTTAGGGTTTCTCCTACCAGAAGTGTCATTATTTCCATACCTTCCACAGCACCATTTACTTGCCTTACCATTTTGGAGCTAGTTTTCCCAGTGCTTTAGAGATTGTGTTTGCTTACATCCTATTCATTGATTTTGCATCCGTAGGGAGAAATTGGCAGTCCTGGAAAGCCAGGAATCCCAGGATCAGATGGACCATACGGACCAAAGGTGAATACCTAAATTGCACATCTGCCTGCAAATGGGAAGTTGCCTAAAACCTCTGGGAAGCAACCTGTGAAATGTGCTTATTTCTTCTTGACAGCACAAACAGGGCTATTTTGTATCTAATCCTATAACCTGACATATATTTGGGTGAAAATTCTTAGACATCTGGGGTTAGGGACCTCTTCACTCAACTCAGTCAACTTCATCCACCCCAGCCCAGATGCTTCTCATGCACTACTGCACATGATAAGTAATGGGGCTTTTTAACATGATTACTTTCAGTCTCTTTGAGTACCACTAGAGCACTGAGAGATTCTGATGGGTTACACTTAATAAATAATATTGTAATGTGAAGAAGAGGTGGTTTGTTCAGAAAATTGCAACCATGCCAAGTCTGCGTCGGCTGTAGTTTTATTTTGGCTCCCTCCAGGGTGAACAAGGAGCACCAGGTGATGACGGTGCCTTTGGGATTCCTGGGGAGAAAGGAGAAAAGGTTAGTGCTTGCCACACTGCATTGAGCTGCCATTTATAAAAGAATGAATCCCACATCCATCAGGTCAAGTTAACGATATTATGCACTTTATGCATCATAGGTACCCTTTTCAGTGGTCAAATGTCAACTGTCTGGAGCATTAAGGCTGGGACTGCAGGTGGAAAGGGCAGGAGAAGGAGGTCTTCCTCAATTCACCTCCTGCTGATGCATGAAACCCCAGGAGGGTGCATGCTTAGCATGAGGAAAAGCCATCCAGACCTTTGAAGTGGGATGAGTTGTCAGAGTTTATTCAACTCAACGACTTGGACTGAATGATCCTTATGAGTCCCTCCCAACTTGGGATATTCTGTAGTTCTATGATTTTAACACCACCATACACAGGATGCTGGGCATGCTGCAGAGGAGAGAAAATGGATAACACTGCTGCCTCCTAGATGCCTTGGACATGGATATGGAAAAAGACAGACTAAAGGAATCTTCTTACATATTTAAAGAAAGTTGGGCATTAGAAGTTGTTGGGCATCGTCCTAGAGGGGAGGAACATCCATGTCACCAAGCAATGAGGTGCTTTCTGGAAGAGTAGAAATGGAAAGCAAAACTGAAGGGTCTCACTGTATAGCCAAGGCCCATGAAAATATTTGGATAATATCTGGTTTGCCTGTCTCTTAAACCATCTGTGCTTGATAAAATATCTGAACCACTCTCTCCTGCTGATTTTTAGGGGTCAAAGGGAATTCCTGGTTTGGGAGGCTTCAAAGGACAAATGGGATGGCCTGGAAAAGCTGGAGTTGCAGGACCAGATGGACCTCAAGGGCCCCAAGGCAAACCAGGACCACAGGTGAGCAGCAAGGGACATGATTTAGCGGAGGGTTGTTAGAGTTAGCGTAGTATGGTTAGGTTGTGGTTGGACTTGATGATCTTTAAGGTCTTTTCCAACCTGAGCAATTCTATGATTCTGTGATTCTTAATGCCATGACACCTGTGCTGTCTAGAAACCCATATACCAACACTTACAGAGCAACACCAGCAAGGATCTGCACGTAGCCATTCTTCTCCAAGAGCAGGAGGAGATAAGATGCTGCCCTAGACCTCATGGATTTATCTTCCTTGGAGAGCTCTGCTAGAAGTCTCTTCCCCAGTTGCCATCCAAGGGTTTGCATCTTACACCCTCATGTGACACAGAACCCCAGATGGATCCCTCCACATCACCATGCATACAGGCTGCCTGGGGATGTGGTGGAGTTATTGTCCCTGAAAGTTCAAGAACAGTGGAGATGTGGCACTTGAGGACATGGTTTAGTGAGCATGGTGGGAGTGGGTCGATGGTTAGACTTGATCTTAGAGGTCTTTTCCAACCTTAATGATTCTATGATTCCATACATATCCTCCACTTACAAACTGGCACCTGAGGTCTCCCAAACTAAAAGAGGATGGCTGCAACATCTGCTATCTTTCTGTGTGATCTTGGTCAATATACTTCATCTCTTGGTGTATTTATCCCCGTAAGTATTTTTTCCTTTCCTCTCTTCTTTTCCTATCTGCAGTGCAAGACATGACCTCTCAATGAAGGAAGGAAGGCTGCTAATTTCAAGTTAGCATCAAGTGCACCCCTCCTGTTGCTAATTAGGGAGCAGGATGCCCAGGCTCCAGAAGGAGCAAGTGGCTTTCAAACCCTGTTTGAAGCCCACTCTTAACAGGTGTCTTTGCATGCAAGACATGCTAGGCATCTTTTGAATGTAACAAAAAGACTTGGAAATGAGGCTTGATAATGCTGTTTATGAGTAGGAACATGCTGCCTCCAGATTCTATGGTAATGAAGGGTGTCTTGCTGCTGCCAACACAATGCAGAAGGACAATACTAGAGATTAATGCTAATCATCCACCCTTAGGTAGCATCCATTAAGTAAGAAAAGCTTTTCAAGTGGAAAAGGACTGGAAGTGAAAATACCTTTTTCAAGTGATGGAACTGGCTGAGTTTTAGGCTTGAATGAAAGAATAAAGGCTTGAATGAAAGAATATATATATTAATATGAAAGAACAGAGAACAAAAGAAAAGCTGAAGTTGGCTAACTACCTGAAAGATGAACAATGTCAAATAAGCCATCTCAGAGATAGCCTTGTTTTAACTCGTACTGGCCTCACTTGGTGTGACATGTCACACCATTGAGTGATTTGTCCTTACAAAAGTAAGTCTAAGGATTTAATCTTTCTGTGTGTGTGTATGTAGAGGACACGTGTACACATACTGTCTGCAAAATCATAGAATCATTAAGGCCAGAAAAGACATCAAGGGTCATCAAGACCAACCATCAACCCCAACATCACCATGCCCACTAAACCATATCCCCAAATGCAAAACAATACTTGAGTTTGCTGCCAGATGGGAAGTAGATTGCACTGTAATTTGGAGGCATGGAAAAGAGAAGAAGGAACTCTGGCTTTAATTTTTTATGTACTGCAGATTCATCCCAGCCAAATAATCCAAACTCTCATGGCCATTGCATCATGGTCCTGTGCCAAATTACAAACACGTTTAAAAGCACAAAGAACTTAGTTGATGTGCAGCTACATCTGACATTACAGGCCTGTGCTGGTGAAGATACATCAGTGAAAAATGTTCTTGCTGTCAAAGGTAGAATTTGGGCTTGTTCAGACCCAATTTTGTATGAAGTCCAAATGAGTCTGGACCTCATTAGATCAACTAGGTTCACTACCATTCTTACAATAAGGTAGTGAAGCACTGTCACAGGCTGCCCAGTGACACAAGTGCCTTGTCCCTAGAGGCCTCCAAGGTCAGGATGGGGTGTCTAAGCACCTGACTGAGCTGTAGATGTCCCTATTCATTGCAGGGGAGTTGGACCAATGGCCTTTAAAAATCCCTTCCAACTCCAGAGCCTTCCAACTCCAACTGGAGCCTAGCAGAAGATTGGTTAAAGTTATCTCTGTAGGTTTGTTGATTATTAACCCCCAAAATATCATGTGTTGAGAAAGTTTGTAACCAGGACACAAGGAATACCCAATGCTGGGATTTAAGTCCCAGGGAAGAATTAAGGAAGGTGGTGGAGCCAAGTGTTGCAGTGTTCATCAGGTTGAACATCTGTATACTGTCCTCTGACATCAAATAAAGGCTTGACTCAGAGCAATCTGAGTACAGAGGAAGTTTTGGGATTCCAGCATTGCTCAGCAGCTACAGCTGGATCCCACGCCATGTTTCATCACAAAACCATGGGTGATTATTGGAAGAACTGCCCCTACGGTGGGCAAGGTTTAGAAATCCCCCTTCTAGAACACTAAAGTATGGACCAAATCCAGCCCCAGACCGTTTTTCTTTCCTTCCTCATTCCCCAGGCTGCATGTTGTCATGAAAAATTTATCGAAAGAATCACACAAGGGAGGAAGGAGCTGAAAGTACGAGAGCCCTTCATGTATGTTTAAAAAGGCTGGAAGTTTTTAGATTAGCATTTACTAGCACTGCATGCTCAGAAAGCCATGTATGAGATAATAAATGACTTCCATTCAGACGTTGATTAATGAGAGACTGTGAGATGCCGCTTTCTACACCCACACTTCTACTTGTCTTTTCCCTAAATAAAAAGAGAAAGTCCCTGGGTTTGAACTGTTTCTAATGTGAGAGGGTGTTATCTTATTCTGCAAGTCCTTCTCCTCCTGCTGAGACTCTGCTTCTTAAATTAGTCTGAACAAAGAGCTGAGGAAAGAAAACTTCTGCCCCATAGCATTTGCCCTTTCTGAAGGTTGTGGCTATAAGGAGATCCTTGTGGTTGCCCACATGGGGCAGATGGTGAAAAGTCCAGGGCTCTGTCTCATCACATCTGATCTGTTTGGAGATCCAGAAGACTCCGAGTATTTTCTTCTACTGATACCCACATTGAGCTTTAGGGGAAATACCCCAAGTTGTGTCATGAAGGATCTCAGATGTTGTCCCAGTACTGCTAATGGAGCAGTTCTCATCTTCTCCAGGGTCCACGAGGGAGAAGAGGAAGACCTCAGCTCTGCCTCAGAGGTCCTCCAGGCATGGATGGGCAGAAAGGAGTAATGGTCAGTATGAGGATGAGCCATCCTTGTGTCCTGGTGAGGGAGCCTGCACCAGCCCTCTGATACACACTTTGTTTCCCTGCATGTGGTTGAGACCTTCCTGCTCACTGATAACCCTTAAATTTATGGGAAAACACGTGAGCATTTTTCCCCATCTCCATTTCTAGAGCATCGTTTCCTCTCTAAGGTGCACTTATTCTTGGAGCGTTTAATGTTCAATTTACTGAGCTTTTGTAATGACTTAAGTGTTTTTAACAGGGTGAAAATGGTCCGGCTGGTCAGAAAGGAGAAAAGGGAGATCCTGGTCTTTCTGTGAGTACTTTAGTCTAAGATGACATCGTGTTACACAGGGCTGAATAGAGAAAATAGGGCAAAATGCCCCTAAGAGGCATAAGGAAGGAGGGAAATGATGAGAAATAAATTCATGCAGAGAATATCTGGGAAATGAGAGTGTTGGCCTTTACCCAGACATGTCAGATTTGCATTGGCTGAGGCAGGAGCAATGTGCTAGGCAGCATGCTGAGAGTGCAGACAATGACCCAGAGCTTGGGGCATATTTCTCCTCTTCCTTCCTTACTGTGATGTTTCAAACTCATGCTTGGCAGATAGGATTGATACCACGCTGTATTTGCACCTTTTCAGTGTGTAGATGTCTGGCAGTATTCGTTTTAGAATAGGTGTTAATGGCAAGATTGTCCTATGAATGGGATACTGAGTTAAGATAAGCTTTCTACACAGTAAATGCCCCAAGATTTGTCATCCTTAAAAGACAGTAGACATATCATATAAAGTTGCATTAGGATGCCTACCACTGGACATGGAGAATGCTCAACTTAAACTCACAGAATCATAGAACCATATGAGTTGGAAGGAACTTTAAAAGGACATCTAGTCCAACTCTCCTGCAGTGAAAAGAGACATCTATAGCTTGATCAGGTGCTCAGAGCCTGGTCCAGCCTGACCTTGAATGTCTCCAAGTATGGGGCATCCACACACCTCTTGGCAGCATGTTCCAGTGCCTCAATACCTTTATCATAAAAATAGATTGATGGTTGGACTAGATGATCTTAATGGTCTTTTCCAACCTTAATGATTCTGTCATTCTATGAAGAGAAGTCTGGCTGAGACATAATTATAGAATATCCCCACTTGGAAGCGACCCACAAGGATCACTGAGCCCAACCCTGACTCCACACCACCTAAACCCTATATCTGAGAGTGGTGTCCAAGCACTCCTTCAGCTCTAACAGCTAGGTGCTGGGCCCACTCCCCTTGGGAACTCGCTCCATGCCCACCACCTTCTGATGCAGAACCTTTTCTTAACATGAGAAGGCTGTAGGGCCACCATTAAGGAGTTCTAGGCTACCATGAGGTGATTGTCAGCAGCCACGAGGCCTCCCCTCATCCTCTTCTGCTCTGGGCCAAACACACCAAGGGACCTCAACCACTCCTCACACATCTTCCCCACCTTCATATCCCTCCTTAGGGTGCTCTCCAATTGTTTTATGTTTTTATTCTATTGTGGCACCCAAAACTGCACCAGGCGAGGTTGCACCAGCGGAATGGGAAAGAAGAAGATGAGAGATGGAGATGGAGCAGAGGTAGAAAATCTCTATTAATCACTCCTTTCTCCCTGTGGCACAGGAGGAAGAAGTGAAGGAGGTGGTCAGGAGCGAAATGAGAGGCCAATGCGGTAAGTCAGCTGGCGAGCTGCTTGGGGCCATCGCTCTGACTCCTGGCAGCAACTAAATTGGAGTGATTTGAGTGGCAGCACACGCTTGCTCGACCCAGCAAATATCACCCCATTAGCAGTGAGCAGAGACGTGTCACCTCGCTACACCTGGAGATGAGTGTGGGCTTTTGGGCTGCAGAGTCTCTGCTGTAACCCTGACCTCCTAGTCACACTCTTTAATTCTTTCCCTTTAAACCCTCTGTCTTCACATTTCTTCCCCGGTGGTTTTGTCAGCAAAGCTTTCCTCCCCGCTCATCTCCATTTCCCCACTGATTGGTGAAAGGTTCTGGGTCACGGGGGAAAGTTTGGAGCTGCATTTTGCTTGATAACAACACTTTAATTCCTCTCTGCTTCATGGCACTTCTTGACACCTCTTCAGTGAAAGCAGAACCATTAAGGCTGGAAAAGACCTCTAAGATCATCCAGCCTAACTGTCCACCAATATTGCCCGCTAACCATGTCCCTCAGTGCCAAATCTCTTCATATTTTGAACACCTCCAGGGACGTGACTCCACCACCTCCCTGTGCAGCCTGTTCCATATCTGTCAACCAGGACCAGAAGGGTAACGAAAAAATAGTGGGGAAAACCATACCTGGAGATTTTTAAACCCCCAAAACCCCACATCACAAAGGTTTTTTGGCTTTTGTTGCTTCCTTGCCCTGCAAAGGCCCTGCAGAGCTGCCCAACTCTCTCGAGCATTCCTATGGCCAAAGAGAATTGGAGGTCACCACTGCACTTGCCAAGATGATTAAAATGGAGTCACACTTGTTTCTGACATCAGGAAGCATCTGAATGTTTTAAGGGGTAGAAATCGAATATAATCCATGAAAGCATCTGCTGTCAATAACAATAATAATTTCATTTAAAAAAAAAAAAAAATCTTTCCAATGACCAAAAAAGAAGCAGCAACAAACTGTCCTGTTTTCTGTTTGCAGATTGTGGAGATGAGCTGGGAAGAATGCTTGTAGGAAAGGGTAAGTCTGCTGATATCCATATAGAAATACATGGGAATGTGCATTGGCTTAAAGGATGTTTCTCCTTACCCCTAGACTGAGTGAAAAGATGTCATTAAATGCCTTTTTCCGAGTTTCAACATGGAAAATGACCCTGGATCACCAAATGTTTTTAGGTCCCAGCTTTTAGGAGGGCTATTTCTTGAGGGAAACATAAAGAAACAGGGTTCAGAGAGAAACCAAGAGGTCACCAACTTCCACCCTCTACTGCAAATACAGAATACAACATTCCATCTCCTGCTTTGGAGACCTATTTCTTATGGTAAAGTCATCTGGATGGTTAATCTGCTGATATATAGGAGACCCCACCTTCAGAATCATAGAATCTTAGAATATCCCGAGTTGGAAAGGACCTATAAGGATCATGGAGTCCAACTCCAACATTTGGCCAAGGGCTTATCCTCTGTGCTGAATTAAACAACACTTGGAAGAGTCACTTTCTGGGTGGGCAGTGACCAAGGTGATGCATCCAACCCCAGAAAAGATATGCATGGATGTATCTTACACTCTGTATGTCATCATGGGATGTTTTTGGGCTTTGTAACACGAGGACATTACTGACTTGAGTGACACCATACACTCTCCTTGCAGCCACTGCAGTTAGTCTTTTCCTACCTGTTCAGTGCTTGAAACAGGCATAATCAAAGGATGAGCAGCAACTTGCCTCTAAAATGAATATATCTTCTCCAGAAATGGATTTGCTTCAGTTTTTCCTCCATAATTGTTTTTTTTTGTTGTTGTTGTTGTTATTGCTGTTGTTGTTTTAGCACGTTGTTTCATAGTATATAAAGCAAAGCATTTCACAAAGCCAGGGACTTACTAAACAGAGAGATGGGTCAAGAAGTAAATAGCTGAGCTGCTTGGCAGCAACCTTGCTCTGGTTGTACTGAGCCAATGTAATCACAGACACACGGAGCACCCGGGGACTCCCTTGGCATGGGACATTCCCAATTACATTCAGAACAATATAGTCCTTTCCAAACTCTTCTTCCCCCTCTCCTGCTCTGTATTTAGAATGCAAAGCTGTCAGGGTAGAGGTTTCTCCCTGGTATTATCCATGGCCCCATCCCTGGGATCCTGCCCTTGCATTGGCCTCTACTTGCTGCTGTAATAAATCAGGGCAAATGAATCCTGCGTGCTGAATGCTCTTGGACACAGAAGCCTCCGTGCTCCTACAAAAAAAACCTTTGCTGAAATGTTTTGCATTCATAACTCGGATGTTACCCAAGGGCTCTGTGTGTTATCCAGATGCTCAGCCAGAAGCACATCGTCCTGTCTCCAACTCATGTTCAAGGCATCTTTTTAGAAATAGCAGTAAGTTTGCAAAGCCAGATCAAAACCACAGTGGACATGCTACAGAGTTGATATGGAATAGATTCAGTTTGCTGGTCCACATTGCTTTAAAACATGTTTCTGGGTCAATTTTGCACAGCCAGCCTCCATCAAACCTACCACCCTGTAGTTTCCAATCCTGTACAAATGTAAAGCCAAAACTTCATAAAAGCTCTGCCCTGCTAACCTGTTGCCCATCCAACAAGAAGACTGGCACAGCTCAACGCGTCATGAAGATGCTATAGGTCCCACAGACCTTTAATTATAACTTTGATCAGAACTCCATCCCAAGTGACACTGTGAATGCAGCCATGGAGGACTGATGAGTTCCACCACACTCCTTGGGAACAGCTTCCTCTAAAACCAGCCTTTATTCTGAATAAGTTTAGCATGTCCCAGCCTTCCTTGGGAAGACAGGAGACAGTATGATCTGTCCATAAGTTCTTGCCCTTCTCTAGAGTGTATATGATTTGAAAAATGGTTTCCTAACCTGATGCCATACCTGTGGTCTGTGAGTTTTTGAAGGTGCAACATTGAGTTGTGACTTTTCTCCCATACTTGTAGTCACTTTGTTGAACTACAATTATTTTTCTAAGCAGGAGAGCTCAGCTGTCAAACTGTGGTGCCAGATTTCATCATCACTGACCCAGCAATTAAATCCACAGGCCTGGAAGCAATTGAACTCAAGAGGCAGCTTCAAGGGTATTTTCAGCCTCAAAAACACCCTGAAAGGGATGGTGAAAACTGGGAAGAAATGCCTAACAAAACCCAGAGCATGACCACATGGATGACATCATCAGAGTCCTTCCTGGAAACACCTCCTCTTACGACAGGTAAGTAGAGCTGCCTGGCTGATTGCTTTTGGTCTTTTCTATCATGGGAGATGATGTCTTCACCTCTCCCAGAGCACAGCATGAACCCAGTGCTGAATTCCTTTTACTCTGTGGTAGAAAGGACACAGATACAGGATTTCCAACAAGGAAACATGAGATCCCCCATGTTTCTCTGTGGCTCAGAGGTGAGATCATCCAACATTCCATTGTGTGGGTGAGGGAAATGCCAAACACACGTGGCACCATTGGTGATCACCACCTACCAAAGAACACGTTTTTAAGTGCTGGAAGAAAGCAGCCAACATTTGTAGGCTGATGCTGTCCCCCTCATGTCCTTTGCAACTTCTAGTAAGGCTTTCTACCAGCTAAAAATTGCATCTCTGAGACCAAACACTCAAGCTATTACAGACTATTTCTGCCCAGGGCCTCATGAACACATTAATGTGTAAAACTCATGATTGTAGCTAATGGAAAAACAACTGGCTTTACTTCTCACCCTTTATGTTGGCCAAGAGAGAGAGGGAGACAGAACAATCAAGGTCCTGTTCTGCAGATGCATGCAGTACAGTCCTGTTTGTACAGGACTGGAAGGATGTTATGGCCTGGTCTGCAGGCACAGCTGATAGGATGAATCCCCAGTTTGCTCCAGGACCACCCTGGGATTAACTGGAATGGTGTCCTGGCAGAAAAACCCAGGAGATGGATCTGTTGGATACCAGGAGATCCATTAATGCTTGGCTAAGAATGACCATCTCTCCAGGGAAAGAATGGGATGGAGCAGTTTCAGCTTAATTTCAGATCATCTACCCTTTTTTTCTGTGAACCATTGTAATGAGCATTAGAGTGAGGGACATCTTTGCTCAACATCATGCAGACCTGATGACCAGTCAGATCCCTTCAGCAAATACAAGTCTCATACCTTCTTCTATCCCCATGGGTTAATAATTCATGGGTGGCTTTTTGGGGATCTATAGGCATCCCTGTGCCCTGCACACTTAATGGAGGTGAACAAAGCCCTTTGATATCACTGATTTTAGGAGTTTCTGAGCATTTCTGTCCTGAATCTTGGCAGCAAGATGGAAATTACCTTCACCAAATGTTACCCATATGAACCACCTTCCCACATATCCATCACATCTTCAGACCACTCCACATTCACCCATGGTCCTTCTGACTTCATCTGTGACGTTTGCCTTTTAGTCTTGATTTTTGGGAAATAGAGAGTGAAAGCATTGTGCAGAAATGCTGATCGACAGAAATAGGGGGATTATGGGCTTGCTTATGAAGTGTTTTCTTCACTCAGTACTCAAAGTCCAAACATACCTCAAGGAAGCGCAGAATTCAAGAGGAGGGAGAGTTGAGTCTCATTTCTTCCAGTTCAGCAAACCAAACATTCAGATGTTTACACCATGACTGCTCAGATTTTGTCAACAGGAGGAGGAGGGTTGAGTTGTATGGAGGGAGCAGCCATTGGTATGGGCAGGGGGACAGTCACTGCTTCAGCTCAGAGAGAGAGGTATTCACAGGGCAGGATGCATTCCAAAAGACAAATGAGTTGGACAATCAATTCTGCTACTTTGGAATATATTTTAAAAATGTGACTCCAACGCTTTCAAACCTCAAAACAAGTGGCAGCCTGCACAGGTTGTTGACCTACATTTTGTGTATCTTCACCTTTATTACACATGATGGTACTTTCCTGAGCTTTGGGAAGAGTTTTAAGTCAAACCTACTGATGATTATCTCATTTTTTTTCCCCACGTAATCCACTAAGGAACAAATAATCCCCACATATCCAGCTAAACCTGAAGCTGGCCTCAACCATCTCCGCTTTCCTCTTGCCCATCACTCAAACCCTCACCTAATATCTGTGTTGCACTTGGGAGACGTCATCCATCTGGCTTTAAACTCACTTTATATCAAGGCAGCATTTGGGATCGGGGCGGTTTGAGATCGGCAGAGCGTACCACATGTTATTGAATCACAGCTGCCGCCGTCGCCAGCCGACAATCCCATTAAAGCCTGGGTCTGAGGCAGGAGGGCCCATAAATCGCTCCACTAAGTGATGAGTGCCGATAGGCGCTGGAAATGTTAACAGGATTCTGCAGTCGGAGGGTTATTACTGCCAGATTACAATCGCCCCTGGCTTTTCAAAGCTTCCAGATTTACAAAACTCCAGCCTGACATTTATCTCCTGCAAGCAACCACAAATACTTCCATTTTCTCTGACTAACACCCAACCTTTTTGACTGAGTTGTTTAATACCATTAAGAATTTTATTGCCGCCGATTCCTCCCCCTGCCTCACCAGCAGCTCCATGACATTTATTAAGGGAACTTGTTAGCCAGCATAAAGCCACGTAAGGCTCCAATGATCAATATTTAAATGATGGCTAATTTGTTTGCGTGCCCTTATTATGTGTGATTTCCATTTGCTTCCCCAGCAGCTTCCAGTGTGCAGCCAATAACAGGTCTTCCTCTGTACAAGCGCCGAGAAGCTCACGATCAATTACCAGGTGAAATAAACTGAATTAAGTGACATTTAGGGAAGTCACTACTCGGGTAGGAAGTGCTTTTTGGCTCTGAGATCAAGGGGATGTAGGGCTGAAAGAGCTACGCACGCCAGCAAGCAGAGGTTCAAATCTCAGCTTCGCACTCGGCTTAAAGTAGCTGCATTTGTTCTGGGGTGAACAAACTAGGGGGTTTTTTTCAGCCCATTCTGTGTTGTCCAACTATACAAGACAAAATGCATGGTGAGAGTTTTCTGTGTAATGTCCCCGAAAGCAAGCAACTCTACAGTGAGGAGCTTTGTGCTCATCCCACTATGGGAATCCACCCTTGGTCCTTTTTGCCCCTTTTGCTCTTCCAACCTCATCATGATGACCACGGGACAATGGGAGTCGTTGCACCAACCCCGTGTGTTTGTCCAAGGTGGTCTTTTCCCACCTAAATCCCACATGTGAGTGGTTGTGGGGTGTCTCCCTGCAGCCCCCTGCCTACAGCCAATGGACGAGGGCTCCTGTCGACACTACACCCTGCGCTGGTACTTCCACCCAGAAGCAAAAGCCTGCCGACCCTTCATCTTTGGGGGATGCCAAGGGAACAGCAACCGCTTTGAAACCAAAAGGAAGTGTGAACGGCGGTGCAAAACCTCAGCAGGTGAGAAATCCACTAGGCTCTCTGATCCTTCTCCCAGGAGGAAGCAGGAAAACACATCCAGGATCTGTCCACCTCCATTGCCTTATGGTGTGCCACCAGGCTGCAAGCCACAGCAGGACGAGGGTGACTCTGCTACTCTGCTTCTTTTAATAAGTCAGGATGATAGAAGGATGATTTGGAGTAGCATGGGAGGAAGGTGGAGAGGTCAGATGAAAAGGGGAGAAGGAGAAGAAGCTGTTCCTTTCACCTATAGGGAAAAAGGATGTTTTCAAGGCAGAGATGCCATTTTGGATGGCAGCAAAGGCCTTAGGGACGCCAATTTGCCCATAGACTTCTCTGGGATGGGCAGCCCAGCTGTTGTGGCTTTTGACATATCCTGCCCCCCCAAGGCAATCCTATAACCTTCCCCATCCATACACCCAAGTTTCACTTGGAGTGGTGCCTCTAGTTTCAGAGTCTGTTTCTCCTCTTGCTCCCAGTGGACTTCCCGATCAGATCCCCTCCAGCCCATCCTGAGAGCTCCTGAACATCTCCTCCCTTGGGCTACATCCACTGATGAAACACAGGGTGGATGTGGGGGTGATGTGGAGGGTCCACACAGGCACCAGTGGAAGCTTGCCATGGGGGCATTCAAGGCCAGGTTGGAGGGGGATCCTGAACAGCCTGATCTGATGGCTGGCAACCATGTCCATGGCGAGAGAGTGGGGACGAGACGATCATTAAGGTCCCCTCCAACATAAGCTATTCAATGATTGTATGAAATTAGCTCCTTCTGGCCCTGACAGTAATGCAAATGCTACTGATGCCAAGCAATACATGAGCAGGCAGCTGAAATGCTTTCCTAGAAAGGTGCTCCTCTCTCAGCCTTTTCTTTAAATGGAAGAAAGCCTTCTGGGCAGCAGAAGAAATGTGTTAGTTCTCCAAAACAAATAATATCAATAATAATTCTGATGAGGTTCATCTGCTAGTTGGCACCCACTTAGTCTGGCTAGTGCTCACATTTAGTGGTCTGTTTCTTTGCAGTGCACCACACCTGGGGAAGTCACTCTCAGTGCTTTAAATCCCTGAATAAGAAAGAGCCTCTTCATGCCCAAAGCTGCAAGCCTTGGGCATGAGCATTTAATGATCATATAGGCTCCCTGAAGTAGCTGTAGATATCTTCAGCTCCATATCTTCCTTTATAGAGAGAAGCAGCCACTGTGGAGTGATAGTTCTACAAACCCAGGCCAGGTCTGTGTCCTCCATGGACCACCATAAGGGTAGTGAAACACTGGCACAGGTTGCCCAGAGATGTGGTAGATGCCCCATCCTTGGAGACATTCAAGGTCAGGCTCAGAGCTCTGAGCAACCTGATCAAGCTGTAGGTGTCCCTGTTTATTGCAGGGGAGTTGGATTATATGACCTTTAAGGGTCCCTTCCAACTCGAATGATTCTACAATGATTTTATGATTTTTCCTCACTGACCCTGAAGAGTTCCCAAAGCTGACCTGGATCAGAATATTTGCTGTATCAATGTCTGGCATGTCACAGAATGATCAGGCATGGACATCCCGTGGTGTCAGAGACCTCTTGAGCATCTCCAGACATGGGAGGTTCAAAACAAAACCCACGCTACACGCTACATCCAAACTCCAGCATCCCCTTTGTTTTCTCTTTCTTTGCTTTCCAACAGCAGTCAGAGGGAGGTGATCAGCTGCAGTTGCCATGCATAAATCAAAGATAAATGAAGCTGCAAGAAGTTTATTTGGGACATCTCAGAGACTCAACAAGCAAGACAAACCGTTTAACATGAAGAAGCAGCAATGTTGGGAAAAAAAAAAAAAAAAAAGACATTGGAATACTTGTAATTATGATCAGGAAATAAAGTGGTATGAAGAGAGGGAATCATCTGAGTGCTCAAGAAAGCCCAGAGGCTCACAACTCTTTGTCCTGCAGCATGATTGTGAAAATCCAGGTGACACCTACCCATGAGTTTATTTTTGTAAAATAAAAGTGTATTCATGCTCCTGAGTATCTTTTCTAGCTCATAATTCAACTTGGGACCAGTGACCCTTTTAAGAAAAGCAGATAGAATAGTGGAAATTTCCATTGCCCCATGTCCAATCAAATGGGTAGATTGAGCCCCATCCTAATGGCAGACAAACTCCCCTTGATCTTCAGCAAGTCCAACTTCTCTGTCCCAGATTATATGATAAGAAAGCAAATGAACTTCTCCCTACAGATGCCATCTCCAAGTCTTCAAGGAAAGATGTGGAGATCAAGTGAGAGGGTTAACTTTTGGGTTTTGGTGGCTCCGTGGGCCCAGATTAAAGGGTCCTGTCCAATAAAATCTCCTCCAAGTGCATATTATGGGGTAGCATGGACTCCTGGAAGGGCCAAAGTAGATCCAACGGCGTGAAAGTCTCTCCTGTGTCCTCAAATACTCATAATATGCCAAAGCAACCACAGAAGTGAAAGATTCTGTCTTCTACATGAGTGAAAAAAGCACTGTCATGATGCATCAAGGTAGGAAATGTAGTGCCTGAAAACAACACCTCTCATTGCATCACGTCTTCAAGGATTGCACTGGGGATTGCCTTTCTCCCTCCAAACAGCTTTGGTGGGAATGTAATGGTTAAATGAGGATTAATGGTGGTGAAAAACTGGGGGAAATAATTAGGAAATTATCAGGGGTGTTTATTAAAAGGTTGAGCTCAGATTTCCCTGGCTGAGCAGAGTTGCCTCATTGCTACAGGTAGAACAGCAGAATTTCCCTTACCCACGATGTCCCAGGTTCCAAGGAGAGTTTAGCAGAAAAATCTGGGTTTTTCATTCCTTCTGCAACCAAAATAAAAAATAAATTAAAAAATTTAATATATATATATATTATAAATAGAATTTGGTAAATGCTGGAAACAAGAGAAATGACATTTTCAGACCAACATTTCCAATCTCTCCTGTACTTCAGCAAGACAAAAAAAAAAAAAAAAAAAAGAAATTCCCTCAGAGTGGAAACAAAATGTTCCTGGCTGAGCAAAATATTGGCTGCAGCCTCATCCAAATTAAAGCTTTGCTGTGTTTCCAGGTGAGGCCACAGCATAAAGTGATGTTTCTGGGGTGCCCGACTGCACAGGTGCTGCAGCCCAGGAGACATTGGACTGAGAAAGAACAGTCACCATGCACAGGTAGGAAAATTTATCTTTAGGTGGAAACTTGCCAAGGGGAGCAGTGTGTTGAGACGCCACAGTTTTGCAGAGCGACCATTTCAGAGCCTGAAAAGAGATGGAGAAAAGGGACTTGGACATAGAAAGGGCACCTGCATAACAGTTCATCCACATTGACTTCAGCTGGGATGTCCGTGGCTGCAACATCCCATGCCCTGAGTCATAGAATCATAGAATCATTCGAGTTGGAAGGGTCTCTTAAAGGCCATCTGGTCCAACTCCCCTGCAATGAACAGGGACATGGAATGATCCTTCCTGATGCAAACCAGCCCACAGCTGGATTGGAACAAAAAATATTTATATGGGCAGATCAAAAACAAGGCAGGAAGATTTCCTCCATCCCTCGCTGCCCAACCCCCAGTGGCCCCAGGCCCACATTTCTTTGTCCACCTATCAATGTTACCAGGGCACTGGAGAAGAAAAGGGTGTATTTCTGTGGGCCAGCAAAACACTTGGCAGGCATGTTATGCTGACATCAAGTCTGAGAAGATAAGCAGTGGTAATTGCATGAAGATAATTTTAATGGCTGTGAATCAGCAGCACAGTGATGGTCAGGAGGCAGCTGTGGGTGAGCCAATGGATCTGGGAACATGGATGTGGGACCATGGACACAAGATCTGGTACCTACCTGAGAACACAAAGGATTCCCAGAATTTCTCTTTCTGCCTCATTATTCCCAGGGCACTGAAGGAATGGGACAACATTTTTTTGCTCTTAAGTCTACTGCCATCAGCTTAAATAGGGCTTAATCCCCTCACGTGCAGAATTTCTTGGCAGCTTTGAGTTCCATGCTTGGCCAGGAGAGAGCATATCTCAAAGCTAAGTTGGTGGTCAGATTGGTGAGGCTGGATAGGGATTTGAGCAACCTGGTCTAGAGGGAAATGTCCCTGCATATATCAGGGGGGTTGGAACTATATGATCTTAAAAGTCCCTTCCAACCCAATTCATTCCATGATTCTATGATTTAGCCACCTGGTTTCACAGTTAAGGAGAGGGGCAGAGCCTTTCACCATTAAACCATGCTGACAATACAGGCCAAAGCAGCAGCTCACCAGGCAGATGAGGGATTTAATCCAGTCTTCAAAGCAGCTTGGAAGAGTTGGGGACTGGAAACCAGTAGGCAAGTGTGTAATATCAAGCTGTTCACTCCTCTGCTGGGTGTATTAAATGCAGCTTGAATTTCCCATCAGTGCTCTGTGAGCTTAGGTATAATGGGAAATTGATAACTTGATTTTTTTTTTTTTTTTTTTTAATACATCTAACCTTAAACGTTTATTATTGATTTGCCATCTGAACCATTTCGGCAGGGCCAAAATATTACCGGAATGCTTCCTCAGTGTTTCCTTGGAAATGTCACGTCACTCTAATTGAGTTTCTTGAAATGATTTGATTGTGGGGTCGGGGAGACTTTTAGGGCCGAGTGATTTGCTGGCAAGCCGTTGGCTTTCCAGGTGCAGGGAGTTGGGGCTGCTCCAAACGGGGCGAAGCCAGAAGATTCCTGAACATCACACGTTGGAGAATGGCCATAAAAAGCGAAGAGCATCGCTATGAGACCCGAGCATAGGAGGAGAGGTGCACGTTTGGGCTTTAATTAACATAAAGCCAGCTTCAATAATCCTCGTGCAAAGTGCTGGGTGATTTCAGAGCACGGGTGGCCCCACTGCTCCTTTTGCAGCTGTGGAGCTGAGCCCATGGGATATATGGCCATAAGTGCACCGATAGCTCAAGCACATTCAGTCTCTTAGCATTGGGATTTCAGCTCTGTCTGGCACATCTGGCCAGCAAAGCCTTGCAAAGAGGTGCAGAGAGGATAAACTTGCCCGATCGAGGCATCCAAAGTCAGCAGGTAGTTCCTTAGCAACCTTGACAAAAGAAAATGGATCGTGAGAAATGAAGAGGCTGGACTGGAGTAATTGAGTAATTCAATAATGATACAGTCCTTGAAACGGCCACAATGCTGACAGCCAAGCCCCGAGCATCATCCAGCATCCTCTGGCCTTGCTGGCAGATGAAAGCAGACAGGTTGCTCGGGAGGGAGCTGACAAAAGTCCCCATCTTCACTCCTGCCAGAGTCAAAAGCAACAAAGAAGTTCACCACTGTGTCACCAGCCTGAATTACATCCAGCGAGGTAAATTAATTACCCAGTATTTTCAGAGCAAGAGTAATTTAGGCTCTGGAGATGCAGTTGGGCATGGAGTTAATGCAGGGCTGGACCCAAGCATCAGCAAGGTGCATCTTGCAAAAACATCCATCCTCCTCGTCTGGTATGTGTGGTGGAGGTGACTTTTGGGTGATATCCACTGCTTTTTGGACTAACAGCAATCACTGTGCTACTGCTTTGGTGTACACAGCCACTTGGCAGCACTGCTAGTGAAGATAAGAATCCCGTTGGTGAGCACCATCCTCTGCCCATAGCAAGGGTGGAATGGCAACCCAATGGCTGTGACATGGTGGAGAGGGAGGAAAAATACTGAAAAATCCTCAAAATCCTTTGATGCTGGGCAGGCAGCTCTGAGTTAGGGTGAGCAAGACCAAAAACTGGGATGGATTCACCTCCAGCATCATTACTGTGTGGGTTAAGAGCAAAACCAATGAGAAACACTCCTTGTCAAGGAATTGGTGATTGACAAGAGCTGCCTTGGTCTCACCTCAAAAAACACCAAGGAAAATCCTTTCTGATCCCTCAGAGTTTGGTTCATCCATCTCCTGTCTTGGGCGCTTCCTACACAACACTCTGAGCTCCACCACCAGGTCTCTGTGTCCCCCACATATGTCCCACTTTACCCTTAAAGCCACCCTGAGTATCTCCATGTGGCTCATGAAACCCAGTGGCCAGCACTTGGCCGTGACTCCTGCAGCAAAAAATTGCTGGAGAAGCAATATAACCCAACAATAGAGATGCATCCATTATATTTCTTGCACTTTTTCTTCATTTCAGATGTTTATTCTTACTGGAGGTGCGATATCCACATAGCTACAGGCACATGCCATGCACATGGTGCGCAGGACGTGGTTTAGTGGGCATGGTGGTGATGGGTTGATGGGTTGATGGTTGGACTAGATGATCTAAGTGGTCTTTTCCAACCTTAATGATTCTGTGATTCCATTTTATGAAATGTCTACTTGGAGAACAGGTAGGAAATGTGACACAGCAAATAAAAACCATTGGTGAAGGCTATGTGGAAGATTTCCAGATTAATATTTCTTCTCCAGTGCTATTTTTTTTTTCTTCATTTGGAAGGAAATCATCAAGAACCAAGATCTATTTCATACCCAATAAGCTGTTAGTGGTAAAGTTTGGTAGTTCTTGAAAAAGTGGTTTGGTCAACAAAAATTTGACTCACACTACTAAGGTCCTATCTTAAAGTCATGGGACTTTCCAAGCCACTGACATGGTCTTTACATCCCTTTTGGAGCTGCCAAGCTGTCAGCAGGGGCAAAAACCACTCCCAAAACTGTGTGTCATGGAGCAGAGAATCCCACCAGAAATGAGCTTTGTGGAAGAGTCAACTCTTTGAAAGGGTTGATAACTGCAGGACGAGGGGAAATGGTTATAAGTTGAGGGAGGGGAGATTTAGGTTGGATGTCAGGGGGAAATTCTTTAC